GCAGGAAAAGGAGTCACGGTACAACAGACCATCTATTTTAATACAGTTTTACATCAGGAGTATGAAAATGGCAAACCTATCATCAGTCTGCAGTCAAATCTATACAGCTCCATTTGCACAATACAGTAAGATATAATCAATGACTTATAAAGTGCAGTGGCTATGTTCACACATTCTTGCCAAAAAACTCAAACCACATTCTGGCTTAACATGATAACTTGTTCTCACAGTACCCTATGACAAAATGAAATTTCTTTGGTGTTGCTTGCCATATTAGTTTCTTAACCATGGTTTATGATTTGGCATGTTTTGTACAACCCATATGTATACTAGGCTTTGAATCCTGTCCTTGAACATTGTCCAGAAACCACTACAATACTGAAGAAAGTAATTGGTACTAGAAAATTGTTACGTAATCAATTGAGAGAGGATATGTAGAGTTAGACTGGGGAGTACTACATATTGAAGGGTTGGGAAGGAGATACTTACGACTCCTAACTCTGGAGAAGGCTCTAATGCTGGGAAAAGATAGAAGGAAAGAGGACAACCAGGTAGAATCCTGCTTTGAAGATGCAGCAGAGGGCTGAGCTCTGCAGGTCAACTGGCCAGCAGGAGAGTAGACTCTAATGAGCAATGTGCCTCAACTCTGCCTATCGTGGAGGCTCAGCATGGCTTATTTAGTGTCAAGGACTCACTGGAGAAGAGCCTAATGCTGGGAAAGATTGGGGGCAATAGAAGAAGGGGACGACAGAGAATGAGGTGGCTGGATGGAGTCACTGAAGCAGTAGGCGTGAGCTTAAATGGACTCCAGAAGATGGTAGAGGACAGGAAGGCCTGGAGGAACGTTATCCATGGGGTCGCGATTTGTCGGACACGACTTCGCAACTAACAACAACAAATCCCTGAGAGAAAAAAATGAGAACAACTTTTCAAATCTCAGCTCTGTGATCTTTATTATGCTGTGCTTTACTATGCTGTGCTCCTCCTTGGATTCATCATTTGTCTATTGGATTCCTGGTTTTGACTTTGCCAAGACTGTAAGCAATGTTGGTGGTGTCAGCACCTACATTTTAGTTTTCAGCTGCCTTTTTTAAAAATTCTGTTAGGTCATCTATTTTTTTGTTGCTAAGATGTTTTGAGCAGCATGTATGTGCCAGAATTCATTCTTTGTCGTTTCTTCCTTTTTTCCATATCATTATTTTCTCTTACTGGCTATGTATAAACAATTCTCAGTTCTTGGCCAGTTGTTTGAGTATTAGTCAAGTAGTTATGCACAGGATCCAGTAATTTTAAAAGGTAGTCTGATAATGTAAGATAAAAATAGAAATTTACCAGAGCGCACTGATCACTAGGTGCTTTAACTTCATCATCTTGGCTACTCCTCCAAGCCTGTAAGTATGTTTACAACTGCCATCTTTTTTATATAAAATTTTTATTGCTTTTAAAATAACAGAAAAAAGGAACAAAACACAAAAATACATTATAAAAAATGCACAAGTGCTTAAAAAATATACAGTTGTCATCTTAAGATACTAGTAAGAAGGACTGCTTCCCTCTAAAAGTTAACAGATTTATATAGCTACCCATTGCACAAATATGGCTCTGGATGCTGTACAATTAAAAAAAACCTGAACATTGAAGATCAGCTCCAGCAGGAAGCAAAAGGTGCATTTCAGAAAGACAATAACACGGTACAACTTTCAGTTTCCAAAAATTCTGCCTGAAATGTGCCTATCATTGGACTGGAGCAAGCCTCCAATCTGCTTTCTCATTGGAGTTCAGTGGCTAATCAGTTCAAATAAATAGCAAAATAAAGAAAGAAAGAAAAGTATAGATATATCCCAGCATCTGAATATCCATTCCAAGACTTTTGTTGCTACTCAAGTGGTAGTCTATGGAGTATTTTTTGCTTGCAGGCTTCTTTATTGTTGGTTGTTGATCCAAAAAGGTATAAACTATTCACCACTTCAATATCTTTACTGTCAGTTTTCAGGCTAGTGATGGTACATATTAGTTTGGTGTTAGCCCTAATTTTTTTTACTGTGCTCCTTGATTTTCATTACTAGAACTTGCACATCATTTGCATTTTCAGCTACCAGATTAGTGTCATCAGTATATCATTTATTCATGTTTCTTGCTCAAATTTTAAAGCCAGGCTCCTTTTCTTCCAATGCAGCTTCCTTCAATATATATATATATTTATTTATATTTCCTATTTCTTAACATCTTACCATGGCCCTCAGAGAAGAGCTGTGGGCGGTATACAATATAATCAGAAACACTGACATTAAAATCAGAATTAATTTAAGATTAAAAACTTTTAAAATTATAAAAACATTATAAAATTTCAAAAGGTGAACAATTCCGAGATCGGGAGTTAGCAGTTGCCAATACAGGTGGGGCAAATTCTAATACATATTACACATACAGGAAGAATAAATAAGGGAAGCATATACAGTCTTGCCTCACATCTTTGCCAGTCAGAAGCCAGTCTTTTTATTTCATTGAGAAAATAGTTAATCGGGACTTTTATAAGAAAAGACTGAGCTCTGGATTTCTGAGCTGTAATGCTTAAGTATTTAAATTAATTGAGAGATATTAGTGATATTGAATTATGTTTTTGTTTTCCCATTTACTTTATTTTGTTGATTAATTTAGGCTATACTGAAATACATTCTCTATATATATTCTACCCTTTTTGTTACATCTTTGTTCATTTATAAAATATTAGATATACACAGAAACTGTGCAATTTATTCTTCCAGGGAAAATATATCAGAAAAGCTGCATTTGCTGAAACTTCCTTTTTAAAAAGCTTCTTGCCCACTATTTTGTTATGAATTTATAATTCTTTCTGAATAGCAATAGTAAAACATGTTATACTTTTCTTCCGCAAGTTGTACTGGCTGCTGGTTTGTTTCCGGGTGCCACGTCAGAATAACAGAATAACAGAATTGGAAGGAACTTTGGAGGTCTTCTAGTCCAACCCCCTGCTCAAATAGGGGATCCTATACCCATTTCAGGCAAATGGCTGTCCAGTCTCTTCTTAAAAGCCTGCACTGATGGAGCACTCACAACTTCTGAAGGCAAGCCGTTCCACTGGTTTATTGTTCTGTCAGAAAATTTCTCCTTAGTTCTAGGTTGAACAGGAAAGGTATGCTGCAGGTCCTATCTACCAAAAAGTTTGATTTGGCAGGACCTAAACAACATGCCTTTTTGGCTGTAGCCGCCACCCTCTCCTTTATTCTCCTTCCAATGAGTTTGGCCCCATCTCTGTTTGCCTTTGGAAAGCCCTTAAAACTTGGTTTTTCCATCTGCCTTGGAGATTCCATGGTGAGCCTGTGAGATGGTTATATAATATCAAATGAATGCAGTTCTCCTGCGTTGTTCATTTTTTTATGTTTGCCTGATTTATGGTTTTAATTGTAAATATATTTGTATGCTGCCCAGAATCACATTTTGAAAGATGAGTGGCTATATCTATATATATATCTATATATCTATTTGGTTTCTTATCTGGATTATCTCGAAGAGTTTGACACATATGAAAAACACTCCAACATTGGGGACAAGAAAATAAGAGAAGTTTATGCAAACAGTAGGTTAGTACCACACATTCCAAAATGTATGAAATGAAAATAAAATGGATATGAAAATGAAAGTGATATGAAATCTCTTCTGTTGTAAACTTTAGAGAATGAATTCATCAATTAATTAGCCAACTATATTTTATCCTGATATGCTGTACAAAATTCTAACCGGCAGGGTTAGTTGATGGTTTTGTGTTATGCTAATCCAGAAAATTGAGCCAAATAAATCATCATCAAGTTTCAATGTACTGTAGAATTCAGGCAATTAGGTCAATAAACTATGGACCAATTTCTCATGGGTTGACATGTTGTGCAAACTGAATTATTGCTTATTTTATATTATCTTTTTATTTGTTGGGGGGGAAATCTCTGCAGTGTCTGAATATCTAAGGCAATACTGTATCATACATCTTTTAATCTGCAGTTCTACAAAGAATATGCCAAACATTTTCGTTTCTACTATGCTGAGACATTTTTTAAATAAAAAAAACCACAAGAAGCTAACGAGGCATTCTGACATTTAAATAACAACTTTCATACAAATCTTTTTTTTAACAAAGCAGTAAATCCCATTATTGAGCAGCAAATAGAACATTATATATAATCAATGGGTAGATATAGTAGAACTACCTAGACATTATACAGGTAGTCGTCGATTTACAACAGTTCATTTAGTGACCGTTCAAAGTTACAACAGCACTGGCTTCCGGTTTGTGATCACACCCCTTGGTCACATGATCAAAATTCAGATGCTTGGCAGCTGGTTCATATTTACGACCGTTGCAGTGTCCTGGGGTCATGTGATCACGTTTTGCTACGTTCTGACAAGCAAAGTCAATGGGGAAGCCAGATTCACTTAACAACCGTATTACTAACTTAACTGCACTGATTCACTTACAACTGTGGGAAGAAAGATGATAAAGTAGGGCAAAACTCACTTAACAAATGTTTCACTTAGCAACAGAAATGTGGGACTCAATTGTTGTTGTAATTCGAGGACTACATCTATCCACTCCAAAAAGGAAAGTAGGGAATATATTCCTAGCAACTGGGATGCAAACCGGTATCCTTTCATTGCTCTCTGAGGTAAAAGTAAGTCCTTTCAGTTCATTAACTCATGCCATTTTATAGTTCCAAAGAGGTAAACCTCAGCTTTCAGGATCCACATTGTTTTTGTTTTATTCCTTACAGCAGGGGTGTCAAACTCGCAATGTCGTGATGTGTTGCAATGTATCCTGACTTTTTTCCCATTGCCGGCAGTGGGGTGGGTGTGGTTTTGCTATGACACATCTGGCCCGTGGGCCGGCAGTTTGACACCCCTGACTTAGAGTCAACCACTAAAGACTGGAGTGTATACCTCTGGAATTTAAGAGTTGTTTTATGTACCAAAACTGAACAGAGCTGGCAGAGTACAGTACTTTACTTTCATGCAAGTTCATAGCCAAGTCCTCCACGCATTCTGCTTGCCTCAGTCTGAAAACATCCCCCAAACTATTAAAGTCTTGAATACATGATATTCTTGATCTGTATCCAGTGCACTATGAAGGCAATCTTTGCTATATTTCTTCCACTTTAAATTTTTTTTCAGTTTTTGCTGGCCCAAACTATGCTAGTCATTCCAGAGCAAATAATTTCAGGGTAAATTTAGGGGCAGAGGTCTATCCTTATGTTATATATCTGATACTACGGTAGATGCACACCCCTTAGCCTATGACCATTTAATTATCAGTCATTTGCCTTTTGGCAGCAGGACAGCAGTTCCATTATGCTAAAAAGTTGGATAGGATGGGAAGAGGTTTTGCAGGGAGAGGAGGGAAGGGATGAAAACGTCCCCCTTCTCTTTTTTCTGCTTCATCTGGTAAAACAAATGGGGGGGGGGGGAGAGAGTAAGATTGATTCTTGGGGGAATGAAAAGGCAGAGAATGATTTGTTCCCATACTAGATAGCAATTAATGTAGTCATGAGGAAAAAGTCCCTAGTTGGCTTTCAGTTTTATGTCAGTGGTAAAAGTAGTGAAGAAACAGTGAAAAATGTTTTCCTTTTTTTGAATAAGTGGAAATTTCGATTAATCATCTACAGGTACCTATAAATCTACCATAAAATACTGATCGATCTTCTACCTAGCCCTAGCACAGTAGTAGTAGTTCATTTTGTACCATTTTTCTGCTTCAGCCCAATTATTTTCTCCATGTGTATGACGGCCCTATGGCAACCCATGAAATAAATTTGCTGTTCTGCCAGGCGAGGCCTAAAGTGACCGCATTAAACTCAGACAATATAGTTCTCAGAATGACTTACTACTTTCTCAGCTTGCTCTACCTCACAGGTTGGTTGCGGAAATAATGGAGTGAAATTTATATCGGTGTCTTTAAAATTTCCCCAGAAAAGCAGAGTTTAAGCTTTTTTTTTTCTTTTTCTTTTTTGCTTTCAAAAATGCCCTGCATTGAGATTTGAGTTCCTTGGCCCATATATGAATCCTTAAACTCTTCCAAATCGTTCTCATATAGAGTCGCCTCCATTTTAGATTACTAACCTTTCTCTTTACGGATAAATGATTCCCCCTCACTTTGAGACTCAATGCTATTTCCAATCCCAACTAACTCCCATAGAATCACACACCGCTGAGATGGGCGGGGCGAGGGAGACGAGAAACGCCGCGCGCCTGGTCAAGCACAGCGCGTGCCAAAAAGAAGAAAGGAGTGAAGGGAAACGCCAGCGCGCGTGCGTTGAGTGCGTGTATCAAATCCCTCCCCTCCCCCCCGCGGCCGTCGATTCGATTGCTTCGCTGGTGCCTTCCGTCCAAACTCCATTGGACTTCGTTCGCGCAGAGTTTCTTGGGAGTGGTAGTGTCGTGGGTATTATTTGCGCGGAGAAGCGTACAGTGGATGGAATTGAATAGCAGCCATTTTGTTGGATTTGCTTAATTGAAAATGTATGATGTATTACGGAATTGAAATTACTGTATATCATGGCCCAGGTGCCGCCCAAATGAAACCTATAATATGTATATTGCACTAAAACAACATCAAAATGGTTGCAAGAATGAAATACGTTACAATCCCACGTGGGCCTACCTCCTTTTGAATTCAATGCGATTTTTTTTCTCCTAGTAGGATTCTATCGTTTTTTTAACTAGCTATGCAGTATGAATCTGTACCCTGCTGGGTTCATGCATTATAAATCGTAGTTTTTTTTCATAGAGAATACAAATATAAAAAAATATTTTTAAATAAAATAGGCTTTAGTGTTTGAAGCCAGGAAAAATGAATGGTCAATTAATCTGGACAATTAATGATCACTGAATTCAGACTTGAGGTAGTTTTGAAGGTGATTCAGATGGCAGGAAGGGGGAGTCAGGTGACCAAAGATAAGGCCAGCAAAATGTTAGGAGAAATAATTAGGCTCTGAAATCCCAGGATTTTATTCTTGTATGGAAGAAAGAAAGCAGCAAAGCAAATTAGTTTTGTATCAAGCCTGATACAATTAATTGTTTAGTGTAAATGTGTTTAGGATAATGGACAGGATTTTAAATTCATGGATTTTTCCCAGTTCCCTTGGTATTATCGAATACCCAGGATTGACCATATGCCTGTTACAATTCATATAATGACCCATACCATATTCCAGCCAGTACCATAATCCTGTATCTCTAACAACAGGTTTTCATATTATCATAGTGGCATTGTAGAAATATCCACATTACAGTATGTATATGATTAAGTATATGATGTTATTGTATTTGTAATCGATCCACTTAATGCTAGCAGAAAATTTAAAATAGACGTTTATGCTTCCACCTAAGAGCCAGTGTAATCTAGTGGTTACGGCATCAAGCATAAAACTAGGAGATTGTGAGTTCTAGTCCCGCTTTAGGCATGAAATCTGGCTGGGTGACTTTGAGCTAGTCACTCTCTCTTAGCCCAGGATGTCACACTCAGTCGACAAGGTGGTCGGTCGGTTCCTGTCACAACCAAATGGATCAATATTTGGTTGATCAGAAAAAAGCAGACCCTGCACTTGCAAGGAAAATACTAGGAAGAAAAAAAATATGCTTCCATCTCCAAACTCTACTTCAGCCTTTCATAACCTGGCTCACTCCATATATATTGGACACAACTCCTCTAATTTCCAGTTGCCATGGTGATTTGGAATGTGATAATAATTATAGTCCAGGTCAACTGGAAGGCATCCTCCTATCCTTGAGGAATTCATATAGGATTTTTCTCCTCTTAAATGCACAGAGTAATCATATACATGTTTAATTAGAATTAATCCTATAGAGTTCAGTGGAACTTACTCCCAAGCATGGGATGCATGGGATGATAGATTTAAATTACACTCAGATATCTGTTTTATAGGTGTGTGTATGTATGTATAAATCTAGAAGCAGAGTTGTAGTTAATGTCTGGATTTTTACCCCCTGGGGTATACTGGTAGTAGTTAACTCAGTGGTTAAGCAATCATAATTTATTCAATTCATCCCCTTTTCTGAACTATAAACTAACCACATATGAAGTAGGTAATAGATTTGTATTGGCTGAATTTGTATTGGCTGAAATGTGGGCTGGTAGCCTATGTTTCAGCATATTATATGAATCCAAATTTTGAATGTAATGGGTTCAATTACATTAATATAGTAGCAATCTCAATGGAAAAAGACAGCTGACACTTTAAACCAGGAGGCTCTTTGGACCATCCTGAGACATGGATGCCCATGGAAATTCATTTATGAAGTTAGTTCAGCTACTCCACAATGGAATGACAGAACAGTTCTTTTATGATGGTGATACACTGAGGGGAAAATTATTTGAGCCCCTGCTGATTTTGTACGTTTGCGCACTGACAAAAAAATGATCAGTCTATAATTTTAATGATAGGTTTATTTTAACAGTGAGACAAAATAACAACAAAAAAATCCAGAAAAACGCATTTCAAAAAAGTTATAAATTGATTTGCATTTTAATGAGTGAAATAAGTATTTGACCCCTTTGCAAAACATGACTTAGTACTCGGTGGCAAAACCCTTGTTGGCAATCACAGAGGTCAGACATTTCTTGTAGCTGGCCACCAGGTTTGAACACATCTCAGGAGGGATTTTGTCCTACTCCTCTTTGCAGATCCTCTCCAAGTCATTAAGTTTTCGAGGCTGACATCTGGCAGCTCGAACCTTCAGCTCCCTCCACAGATTTTCTATGAGATTAAGGTCTGGAGGTGGCTAGGCCACTCCAGGACCTTAATGTGTTTCTTGAGCCACTCCTTTATTGCCTTGGTGTTTTGGGTCATTGCCATGCTGGAATACCCATCCACGACCCATTTTCAATGCCCTGGCTGAGGGAAGGAGATTCTCACCCAAGATTTGATGGTACATGACCCTGTCCATCATCCCTTTGATGCGGTGAAGTTGTCTTGTCTCCTTAGCAGAAAAACACTCCCAAAGCATAATGTTTCCACCTCCATGTTTGACAGTGGGGATGGTGTTCTTGGGGTCATAGGCAGCATTCCTCCTCCTCCAAACATGGCAAATTGAGTTGATGCCAAAGAGCTCGATTTTGGTCTCATCTGACCACAACACCTTCACCCAATTCTCTGAATCATTCAGATGTTCATTGGCATTTCACCCAATTCTCCTCTGAATCATTCAGATGTTCATTGGCAAACTTCAGATGGGCCTGTACATGTGCTTTCTTGAGCAGGGGGACCTTGCTGGTGCTACAGGATTTCAGTCCTTCACAGCATAGTATGTTACCAATTGTTTTCTTGGTGACTATGGCTCCAGCTACCTTGAGTTCATTGACAAGATCCTCCTGTGTAGTTCTGGGCTGATTCCTCACTGTTCTCATGATCATTGAAACTCCATGAGGTGAGATCTTGCATGAAGCCCCAGACCAAGGGAGATTGACAGTTATTTTGTGTTTCTTTTATTTGCGAACAATCACACCAACTGTTGCCACCTTCTCATCAAGTTGCTTGGTGATAGTCTTATAGCTCATTCTAGCCTTGTGTAGGTCTACAATCTTGTTCCTGACATCCTTGGACATCTCTTTGGTCTTGGCCATGGTGGAAAGTTTGGAATCTGATTGATTGCTTCTATGGATAGGTATCTTTTATACAGGTAACAAACTGAGATAAGGAGCACTCGCTTTAAGAGAGTGCTCCTAATCTCAGCTCATTACTTGTATAAAAGACACCTGGGAGCCAGAAATCTTGCTGATCGATAGGGAATCAAATACTTATTTCACTCATTAAAATGTGAATCAATTTATAACTTTTTTGAAATGCATTTTCTGGATTTTTTTGTTATTCTGTCTCTTACTGTTAAAATAAACCTACTATTAAAATTATAGACTAATTATTTATTTGCCAGTGGGCAAATGTACAGATCAGCAGGGGATCAAATAATTATTTCCCTCACTGTATATCAGCTGTATTTGCCATTTCTAATGGGGTGAATTAGGACTGTTCTAGCCCCAGCCTTGTTAAATCTGTTCTTCGCTTGCATATTGTTACATGTTGTACAGAGTCTAAAGGAGGGAATGTATACCAGATACTGATTGGACAACTCTTTCTTTGACATTCACTGCTTGAACGCATGAAGCGCCTCCATACAATCATTCAAGATGCTCTCTTTGCTAATGACTGTGCTTCTGCCACAAAAAGACAGTGATCTACAGTTGATGCTGAACAAATTCTCAGACACTGATATGCTCTTCAGCTTGACTATAAGCCTGAACAAAACTAAAGTTCTTTACTAGACCATGCCAGATAACAACCCTACAGAATCAAAAATCACTTGACGATATCCAACTGACAAATGTAAACACCTTCAAATATTCCAGAAGCATCATCTCAAGCGATGGGTTCTTTGAACAAAGAAGACTGTTGAATCAGCAAGACCAGTCAGCTTTGGGATAGCTGTGTACTTCAGTAGAGTGTTCAGTCAACACAACCATCCCTAACTCCACAAAGCTGAAAATCTACAGAGCTGTGATTATATCTTCTGTCCTATATGGATATGAATTCTGGACTCAGTATCATCAGTATATCAAACAATTGAAGAAATTTCACATGCATGCTCTGCGCTCCATCCTTAGCATTTGTTGGCAAGACCATGTCTCCCACCCAGAGATCTTGGATCATATCTAGTCCACCACCATTGGGTCCCTAATTATTAAGGCCCAGATGAGTAGTTGGGACACATCATCAGAATGGATGATCACCATATGCCTATTCAATTGCTCCCTACTGGAGATTGGGAAGAGCACTCGAGGTCATCCATGCTACTGCTGTAAAGATAAGGTGAAGGAAATCCTACATAACTATGACATCCAGCCAAAGGAATTAGAAGCTGTGGCTGCTGACAGAAACCAGGGGCGAGTCCTGTGCTATGAAGCCTCCACTGACTTTGAAGATAGGCACAGCCAAAAGTAGATACAAAACTGTGGGCAGTGTCGCAGTATAACACTCACAGTTATTACAACAATGGACTTTCAATGCCTTCATTGTGCTAGTCTCCTCACTTCCAGACTGGGATTGCAGAGCCACATACATGTCCACAGATGAACTGCACAACAATGTGTCTTCTTTGAACCCAACAAGACAACAACAATAACAATAATAATAATAATAAAGTTGGAAGGGACCTTGGAGGTCATCTAGTCCAACCCCCTGCTCAGGCAGGAAACCCTATACCATTTCGGACAAATGGCTGTCCAGTCTCTTCTTAAAATCTTCCAGTGTTGGAGCATTCACCACTTCTGGAGGCAGGTTGTTCCACTGGTTAATTGTTCTAACTGTCAGGAAGTTTCTCCTTAGTTCTAGGTTGCTTCTCTCCTTGATTAGTTTCCATCCGTTGCTTCTTGTCCTGCCTTCAGGACCATTCCTTATATGTTTTAGCCTCCAGTCCCCTAATCATCTTTGTTGCTCTTCTCTGTACTCTTTCTAGAGTCTCAACATCTTTTTTACCTCGTGACCAAAACTGGATGCAGTATTCCAAGTGTGGCCTTACCAAGGCATTGTAAAGTGGTATTAATACTTCACGTGATCTTGATTCTATCCCTCTGTTAATGCAGCCTAGCACTGTGTTGGCTTTTTTGGCAGCTGCAGCACACTGCTGGCTCATGTTTAAGTGATTGTCCACTAGGACTCTGAGATCCCTCTCACAGTTACTACTATTGAGCAAGGTACCCCCTATACTATACCTGTACATTTGGTTTTTCTTGCCTAAATGTAGAACCTTACTTTTTTCACCATTGAATTTCATTTTGTTAGATAGCGCCCAGTGTTCAAGTCTGTCCTGTATCTTAAGCCTGTCTTCTGGAGTGTTGGCTATTCCTGCCAGCTTGGTGTCATCTGCAAATTTGATGAGTTCCCCATCTATCCCCTCGTCCAAATCGTTGATGAAGATGTTGAAGAGCACTGGGCCCAGAACAGAGCCCCGGGGCACCCCACTACACACTTCCCTCCATGCAGATGCGGTTCCATTGAGGACCACATGCTGAGTACGGCCAGTCAGCCAGCTACAAATCCATCTGGTGGTGATGCTGTCTAACCCACATTTTTTTATCTTATCAAGTAGTAGGTTGTGATCTACTTTATCAAATGCCTTACTGAAGTCCAAGTAAATTATATCCACAGCACTCCTCTGATCCACTAATTTTGTCACTTGGTCAAAGAATGCAATAAGATTTGTCTGGCATATAAGGAAAGATTGATGGAATTGGGTATGTCTAGTTTAATGAAGAGAAGGACGAGGGGGGACATGATAGCAGTGTTCCAATATCTAAGGGGCTGCCACAGAGAAGAGGGAGTTAAGCTATTTTCCAAAGCTTCCTGACAGTTAGAACAATTAACCAATGGAACAACCTGCCTCCAGAAGCGGTGAATGCTCCAACACTGGAGGTTTTTAAGAAGAAACTGGATAGCCATTTGTCCGAAATGGTATAGGGTTACCTGCCTGAGTAGGGGGTTGGACTTAATGACCTCCAAGGTCCCTTCCAACTTCATTATTATTATTATTATTATTATTATTATTATTATTATTATTATTATTATTTATTTTTTTTTGACAAACCCATGTTGGCTTTTAGTAATGACTTTGTTTGCCTCTAGGTGTTCGCTGATTTGTTGTTTGATTATCTTTTCCAGAATCTTCCCAGGTATTGAGGTCAGGCTGATAGGTACAAATCTTCCTCATTCTGTTGTCTTCTGAGTTTTTGTATTCTAGTTCACATTATCCTCTGCCAGCATGATAGGAATGTACTGTAGGATATCTGCAGGGCAATAACTGCAATTCAATTAGCTAATGCAGACTTTCATTATTCTAGTACTCTCCATGTTGAGATATGATGGGAGTTCTAATCCAGCATTAAATACAGTAGATTCTAATATATCTGGAACAAATCTTTCACAAACTTTTTTATTACTGATTGCTGTGCTGATAGTTTTAAAAGTATTATCATTCTCATTAACATTTTAATGCAATTTTCTTCATTTTCAACACAGTAAAATTTGTTAAAAAGTAGTTCCTAAGTTATGTCTTTCAAGATTATATATTTTATCTACTGTGGTATGATGTGATATTTTATCTACTGTGGTATGATGTGCTTGGTCAACTAAACCCAATTGTCTGGGTTTGCTTAATACCTGTATGGAATTGCTTGCAGTGATTCCATAACCTAACTAGAAGGGTAGGCACAACATTTTAGACTAAAATATAGTATGTGGTTAGAAGTACTGTGCAAACACAATCATTAAGGAAACAAAGAAATCAAAATTTGTATGTGCATTTATTCAGGAGTAAGTTTAATATTTAATATTAATATTTAATATTAATATTTAATATTAATATTTAATATTAATATTTAATAAAGTGAAGACTGTGGTTAAGGTTGCATAGCATGCTAACCCATTGTTAACTACATTTGAACTAGTTTTTTTAAAAAAAATCACCCAGTTGCCTAAGTACACCCATGTAACTTCATAACTGCACAGCACATTAACATAGCCACAAACTGGGCAACCACATTTTATATGGAAAAATGATGTATGATTCTTACTCTCTCTAGGAATGTAACTTCTATTTAATTCCTCAATCCACTGTAGTTCTGAGTTTCTGAAGCCATTCACTCACCAAAGATCAAGCTTTAAGGCTAAGAATCATGACTATCGGCAAGAGTTCAGTCCCTGATCGATCCACTACAGTACTTGTTCAAATTCAAAGTTTAAAACTCTTCCGTTCAAACTGTGGGACATTTGGATGAGTATTTCGGGCACTTGCCTTCACTGAAGTCCCTAACGAAATAGAGAATGCCCTGTGCACGGAATATGTATGTATAAGCCGCCACGTACAAAGCAAAATTCGAAATGTCGATTGAGGTCGCTTGACGAGAAGAGAAAACCCCGAAGCTCTGGTTGACTCTGCGGGCGCTTATTTAGGTCTACTTTTCTCTCGTAGACGAGTTTAATCGATTATTCTGGGATTGACTTCCGGCTGCCTGCCGCTGACATGGCGACGCCGAAGGAGGAGGCACGTGGCCTTTTCAGGCAGGGCGTGCAAGCGGTGTTGGACAGCTGGGCCGTGTTGCAGGTTAGGGGCCTTTTTCCCGGTAACGAGAAAAAGCGGGTGGGTGGAGGGAAGGAGAGCGAGTTGAATACAGAGTAGTAAACTGTATTTTTGAGCTCGCAGGTATATGAAAGTAGCAGTGGGTATAGTAATGGGAAAGATAGAGAGGAGCTTGTTTGGAGGGGCGACTTCGTTCTCCGCCTCGCTGCCGGCGGCGGGCTCGCGCAAAACCCAAAACCAAAGGGCATATGTGATTTTTTTAAAATTTTGATGTAGTGGATTGTGCAACGACAGTCAGGTGTGGTAGGCTGCTGCATTTGCCCACAAAACGCCGACGGCCACAGGGCGGCAGAAAGTCCAGTGTTTCTCAACCTTGACAATTTTAAGGCATGTGGACTTCAACTCCCAGAATTCCACAGCCAGCATTGCTGGCTGTGGAATTCTGGGAGTTGAAGTCCACATGCCTTAAAATTGTCAAGGTTGAGAAACACTGAGCTAGAGAAATCTTCATGCCTTTACTGCCGCTTAGTGATTGTCGGGATTTTTGCAGCCCAGATATGGTACCGGTAGTTCCCCAATGGTGGTATCTGAAATAATAACATAGATTACCGTGTTGTATAAACACTGACCCTTCCGTTGAGAGATGAAGTTTTCCAAATGGAAACTGATTTGATTGGTGTTAATGTGTATAATGAATTGGTAGATGAGATTGGTTTTTATATTGGTTATGTGTTTATTTGGTGAAATTGTACATTGGGAACCAGATCCTGCTAAAAACCAAGGCTGTTTCCAGATATCGAGCTTAATTTGATTCATTATGTGCCATCAGGTCGTTTTGGACTCCTTGCAGCTTCATATTTTTTTCATGATAATGTAGCCATAACTTATTTTTTCAGGTCTTCCAGTGGTGCACACATGCCCATTGTAACTGAATACATCCACCTTGCTACTGATAGCTTAATTTCCTTTTCGTTTTTTTTTATGGAACTGAGAATAACATCCATATGTATTTTTCTTTGGAGCTTTCACTGCAAAAGATATAGTGTTGATATGTGTTATGTACCCACAACATCTGAGTCACAAAGCAGCTGATAGAATTTTAGCCTAATATGTTGTGTGAAACTCCAATATGTGTAGTTAGTTTATGTTTTATAGTGTCATATGAAGCTAAGCAGTTTGATTTAGTTTAACCCTGAATAAACATGTCCATTGGAATTGCATTATCCTTGTCTTGCATATGTATCTTGACAGGGTTTTCCTCCCACTTTTATTGTGTGTGCCTTTAAATCAATGCTGATTCCTAGCAACTGCTTTGAAAAGTCCCTGCAGTTTTCTTGGCAGAGATTTTCAGAAGTGGTGTGCCATTGCCTTTTTCCTAGGGCCATAGTTACCCAACTGGCTTCATGCCAAAAGCAGGACACAACTCAATTTGTAGTTTGGTGCTTTAATCACTACATCAAAGTGGCTCTCTTTTTCTTTTTCCTCCCTGCTTATTTCTGACATACTTGTGGGGAAATTGTAGGAAGGTGTGTTGGATATGTTCCCCAACTTAAGTTATTTGTAAAAATAATAAAGATGGAATACAAATACTACTAAGGCAGCATATTGGGGCTGCTAGACCTGGGCTATCTAGATAACCTTTCTTCCTCCATTTTCAAAGCCATGCTCATCTTCTCCCAGTCCATCTTCCTTGACTGAATATTCTGCATATAGGTCGAATAGATAAGAAGAGAGTTATCTCCCACCTTGTCAGCCTGGAGTCAGTTTGTTTAGCTTCACACTGAGACTTCCTGATCTTGCATAGGTGTTGTATGACATTGAGGTGTTTCAGGATTCCCATTTTTCTAAGCACATTCCTCAGCTTGACATGATCAACATAATTGAAGGCTTCTCTGTAACCAACAGAGCACCTACTGACGTTTTTGCAAGTTTGTTTTGTGTGCAGCAGCAATAGCAATAATGGCTCTTGTTCCTCATCTTTTCTAAACTCATCTGGTATCCCCTGTCCCATGTATAATTCTATTCTGCATTAATCTTTCTAAAAGCTATTTTGCTAATATAGGAAATTAAGAATATTGTGTGATAATTGTTCACTCTGTTAAGTCTCTGTTTTTATTTCCCAAGTAGGAAATTGTTTGCCTAAAAGTGTCCAATTCCAGTCCATTTTAAGATGCTGACATTAAATATGTCAGTGAGTAATTGATTCATTTCAATTTTTACTGTGTCGAGCCTTCCCATGTTCATGCTTTGTAATTTCTATGTTCTCACCATAATTCTGGTTTTCAGCTTCAGATTTTTTTTCCTGCATGGCAATATCAGAATTAGATTTCCTAGAGCAGGGGTTCTCAACCTTGGCAACTTTAAGACTTGTGGACTTCAACTCCCAGAATTCCTCAGCCAGCTTTGCTGGCTGAGGAATTCTGGGAGTTGAAGTCCACAAGTCTTAAAGTTGCCAAGGTTGAGAACCCCTGTCCTAGAGGTTTTAATCTAGCCACTTCATAAATATTATTAGTACTCCAAAAGATGTTCCGCGTTTCCTCAGTAGTGTGTTGAGTACCATTTGACACGAGGGAGCCATCTTCAGGTACTGTAAGGTCAATCATGCACTATAGCAGACATGTCAAACACAAGGCCCGGGGGCCGGATGCAGCTCACGAAGTGGTTTCATGTGGCCCGCGAAGCCATCTTGGAAACAGTGAGGGAACGGCCCCCGCTGCCTTGGCCCTGGCCCAGGCCAGCCGGGAGCCAATGTACAATTTTGTGGTGGCCATCGTGGCACTTGCCCCGGTGGACCATGCCTTGGCACTTGCCCCGGTCCCACCCCCTTCTGCCAGAGACCCTCAGATCTGTCCCACTCCTGCCCAGGCCCACACAGGCACCCTTGACGCGAATGATGTAGAACTGGCCATGCCCACCCAGTAGGCCACACCCACTCCATCCACGCCCACCCAGTAGGCTGCACCCACTCTGGCCACACCTACCTGGTCTCCCAAGGGCAACCGCAATGCTGATGCGGCCCTCAGTGAAATTGAGTTTGACACCTCTCCACTATAGGGTCAATCAGTTTTTGTCTAGCGATGTGGTTTTCTAGATAAAATGCAGAAGTACAGGTAGTCCTCAACTTTTGACCACAATTGAGCCCTGCAAGGCAGTTGTTGAGTTGTGCCCCACTTTACAACCTTTTTGCCACAGTTATGTGAATCACTGCAGTTAAGTGAATCATGTGATTAAGCAAATTTGGCTTCCCCCGTTGACTTTGTTTGTGGGAAGGTTGCAAATGGTAATCACATGACCCTGGGATTCTCTTAATCCCATTGTCATGTGATGCAACCATCATAAATACATGCCAGTTGCCAAACGCCTGAATTTTATCAGTGACCATGGGGATGCTGCAATGGTTGTAAGTGTGAGAATTGGTCATTAAGTCACTTTTTTCAGTTCTGTTGTAACTTCAAATGGTTACTAAACAAATGGTTATAAGTCAAGGACTACCTGTAGTCTATCATTGCCCTTTTCTGTGGAACATAAAATGATGCCTTTGCCCTTGTCATTCTATATTGTTGCTGCCCAATGTAGATAGGTACCTGCCTATTTTAGCTGGGTAGCTAGATGAGCTTCATATTCTTGATAGACACTCCTAGTGTTCTTCTCGCATTCCTTCCAGGAACAACAACCCACCTCACCCCAGCCTCCCACATTGAGGCAGCACAGCAGGGCCTGAAAGGGACACATTGTGATAGGCTAAACCAGGGGTAGGCAACCTATAGCTGGCTCAGGAATTCTGGGAGTTGAAGTCCACGAGTCATAAAAGAGCCAAGGTTGCCTACCCCTGGGCTAAACTATGGGTGGGCTAGCTAATAATACGTTATGGCATGCAAACCTATCGTCTGTTTATATAACAGTATTGATAAATATTTAATTCTTCATAATCAACAAAGCAAATGAGAGATAGAATGTAATAACTCCACATACAAATTTACATTATATAAAATACAGTGTTGTCTGGACAGAAACTAGGAGAGAGGAAGTAACTTTTCTTGTTGAGGTGATGACAGTAAAATGTTAAATTATTTATCCAGGCAATGAACTAAGAAGAAATTGTACCACCTTTCACCAAGGTGCTCCATAGATACGTAAACCTTTTTCCAGTCTGGTCAAGAATAAAAGCATTTCAGTAAACAAATGCATATTACACTATTATGTAAACTAATAATACCAATATATTCAAAAAGTGAACTCTCAGCTTTAAGATGCAACTCATACTCAGATGCTTTTCATTGTTTAGATTTCCCCATTCTGTACATGAGTTACTACGCTATACAAATATGCTCCTTATATGGTAATTTTCAATTATTCTGTTGACAAAGCCAAGTTCTAGTAAAGGACACAGCTTGTGTGCAGCTAACTAGTGAGGGACAGTTAGCTAGCATGCTCCGCTTGAGAAAGTAATTTAAAAAACCCACCTCTCGTACATAACAGAATTAGAAACTGACCATGATCAAAAGGGAAGTATATATAGAAAGTAAAAATCTGAATAAATGTTGTAATAGAAGGTCAGTTGTGCTCCTTTCCTTGTGCTATTAGTTTAGCTATCAAGCAAATGACACAAACATATTTATATGAATTTATTTCATCCTATATTTAGAAAAAGAATGCTTCAAGATTATATCAAGGATGTGTGTGCTTTGGTAATGCCGTAGTTTACCTCACCAGTAGACCTTTATTGAAACCCACATTGGAGGGAAAATGTGGCTTTTCCCTAATTCGGCTCCTGAAACCAAACAGGCAACATGGAGGACAAATTAGCTTTGTTGTTAGAGTTGAAAGCACTATTCGAACTGGCTAGATAATTCTGGACTGTTATTTATTCATGTTCTAAAGCAGTGGTTCTCAACCTTTTTAATGCCGCGACCCCCAACCGGTCGTAAGTCGAGGACTAAACTGGTCGTAAGTCGAGGACTAAACCGGTCGTAAGTCGAGGACTAAACCGGTCGTAAGTCGAGGACTACCCAACCGGTCATAAGCAGAGAACTTTCCCTGCCCGGGAGCGCCACGCATGTGTGGTTCCGCCCCCTGCGCTGGCCGAGGCGTAGCTGGCAAGCGGCAGAGACGGAGCAAGCCGACCACCAGCTGGCCCAGCTCAAGGGAGGTAAGGCACCCGCCGGAAAAGGGGAAAAAAATGGCGGACAGCCTTGCTTGGCGACCCCCGTGAAATGGTCGATCGACCCCAAATGGGGTCACGACCCATAGGTTGAGAACCGCTGTTCTAAATTGTGCTAATTATCACCCCAAGCAACCCTTTGCTGCGCAAATGCCCAGTTGCTGTTTACGAACATTTCCTTGTCTTCTTCCAATTGCAGATAGCAGTTGAAAATGGCTTTGGAGGAGCACATAGCCAAGAGAAAGCTGAATGGATGGTAGGGGCTGTGGAGCAATACTTTGAGAGCAATGGTGAGATTCTGTCCTGTTGACTGAGTGGTAGATTTGGTGGGATATGGATGGCCCAGGATGTACCTAGAATTATGGTGGTACAAGGTTCTGATCTTGTAGTCGTTCATTGCTAGATGAAGAGCCTGAGCCTGAAACTTCCCTTATGTATGGCACAGAATGGTGGATCTTTAATTGACACGAAGCCCTTAGGAGTTAGAATCCTCACTGCCATGATGAACCTTCTAAAACAGGATGTTTAAAAACTGAGATAACTTCTCAAATTTATTATAGGGCCATCACTTTAAAGATCATTATGGTCACCTATCGGTAGTATCCCATGATTAACATTGCTACAGGCTCTGGGATCAGCAACCCTATCGTGTGTTACTCATTTTAGCAAGATAGTGACGCTTAATGAGTACAGTTGAAAGGCCTGGAGCTGGCTTGTATGCTTTCTTCATGGAGAGAAGTTGAGACTTGGAGGGTTACATGGGATGGAACAATATAGCAGTCTAGAAACTGCTTAACCCTAGTCATCTCTGAAAATTTCCCGTGCAGTTCTGTTATTTGACTGTGTGTCCAATCTCTCTGCAGTTGACCTTGAACCAGAGGAGATAGAGGACTTCCTTGCTGAACTGATGAACAATGAATTTAACACTATAATAGAAGATGGAAGCTTGGCTCAGGTATTTGTTTGCTACTCTCTAAAGAGAGGAAAAATGCTTTTTGTTCCTATCCTCTCTCCACACGGGACTGTCCATGCTGTTCTTGGATAATATGCAGTTAGAGCAGTGTTTCTCAACCTTGACAATTTTAAGGCATGTGGACTTCAACTCCCAGAATTCCACAGCCAGCAATTCTGGGAGTTGAAGTCCACATGCCTTAAAATTGTCAAGTCCACATGCCTTAAAATTGTCAAGGTTGAGAAACACTGAGTTAGAGGTATTATATGGAGGTTTAATGGTCCCACGCCTAGATAATTTCCTCTGTTGTTCTGTCTTTGAAAGCTTTTAGACAGATCAAGAGCTTTTCCCAACATTAATTGGTGCTTCATACAACTCCCTGTAAGTTGGCTTATGTATATCACTGTGTTGTTTCTTTTAACTCTTCAGTTGGTGAGGAGGCTGGCCCATACTGCAGCTTTATTGAACTAAATATTGTTCCTTGCAAAACTGAACAAACTGTAGCCTGCATTTGCCAAGGAGAAAAGCTATACTTGAGCCTTTCTCTGTGCATCTCTTTTTTTTTTCCTCCAGGAAGTGTTTTGAGTTAAGATTGGACAGCTTGTTACAGAGAAGGTGCTTGGGAGAAAGAGAGGACTTGCTATGCCTGTCAGAACCTCCTTAGCGAAGCTGTGCTTTTTCCAGTGCTTGCACAGCTATGCAGTTTTAGGAAAGTACATGTTGGAGTTAAGCTGATGGTGACAGAATATGACAGCCTTGTTTATTTTTAAACACTTACGTACCTGGATTCAACAACAAGATGCTTATTTTATTATGGCCCATGTGATTTAACAGGGTTGCTAATAAGCATCTCTGTGAAATTACTGTGTGGAATAATTAATCCATCTGAGCTGTCATCAATTGCCTAGCAGCAGCCAACATTATCCCAACTAAACAAAATATATTCTGTTGAACTGTGGCGGAGTCTTTGTGGCTGTCTGATCTTGGTTTGCTCACAGACGGTTCACTACCCAACTAAATAATATCAGTGCTAGTGAGTGTGAGGTTTGCTCCCTGTACATATACAGTAGGTTGTCCTCCCAATATCTGGCGATGGTGTGGTTTTCTCCTTGATAGTTCCTTGATGAGGGTATTGTTTTCCCGTGTGATTGTCTGGTGTTAATCCTTGCTTATCTCTGTTGTGGAGGGAATGTGTTCTGGTCTTTTTGTTTCCTTTTTTTATCTTTTTTGAATGATCATTAAATATGCTTTATTTTGATGTTAACTATTGATGGCTGATTTGTCTAAATGCCAAACTTCCATGAATTCTTTTAGATTTGGTTTGGTCTAGGACAGAGGTCCCCAACCTTTTAGGCACCAGGGACCAGTGCCATGGAGAAAGGTTTTTCTGTGGACCAGAGGGGATGTGGTTTTGTGTGCTGACTGCATCCCGAGAATGGAGCTTAGGTTGTTTGTGCGGCCCGCTTGCTGGCATGCTGCGGACTGGTGCCGGTCCACGGACCGAGGACCCCTGGTCTAGGATACTTATAATTTCCCAGTTGAAATTGGGGTTGAGTCTGTCCATGTGATGTGAGATTAAGTTTTTATCATGTCTCCTGCTAGTTGCTGTTCATGGTTATACTCTGTTAGTCTTCTGCCTGTCTTTCCTAGATAGTAGTTTATTCTGTAAGTGGTAGATGATCCTGGTTTTGTTTTTTCTTGAGCTGCTGTGTCTTTTGGTTTACTTAAGGTATTTTGGAGGGTTTTAGTTTGTGTGCTCTAGAATTGTCACGGGGTTATAATAGTCTATTGGTCTTTTCTGAGATGTTTTAGAGGTTTGGTAATGTTCTCCTTTTCATAGCTTGTATTGGTTGTGCTATAGTGGACTGAATAAAGTTGATTGATAAAATTGTGTGGTTATCCAGTCAGTAACATTATGTTATCTAGTGGAGTAATGAAACATCTACAAGCATTACAACTAAGCTCAGAGAGCACCAAGGACTCCACAACAAGTGTCTGCATTCATATGTTGCATTCAGGTATAAGTTGCTGACTGGGCCGCAGTTAGTTGGATGAGTGCATCATGTCAAATGACACACAACATGACTTATAACTGCTTGCTTAGATACCCCTCCCCCCCCCAAAAAAATACAACCCGGTTCCAACGTTCCGATGGTCACATAACAGCATGTTGGGCTCTCAGCAACCGACCCACATTTATAATCATTTACAGAACTTGCAGTCGCATGGCCATGTTTTAAATGTTTTCTCCAAACCTGGCATTTACTTCTAGCTTTCAGCAAAAACTAGAGTACATTTTATGACTTCTGCAAAAAGGCTGCTTAAAAATGGATCCCATCACATGGTTGACCTGCTTTACAACTGTCACGACTTGCAGCAATTACTTACAGCATTACTTACAGTAATGGGCAGGCTCCATTATGACCCAAAGTTGAGGACTACCAGAATATAGACTTACACAATTTTTCAGCCCTGACTCCAATGTTATCTAACCCTAGCCCTAGCCCTAACCCTAGTTTCCTTTTCACTGTCAAAGGGATTTCCCCATGTATTTCACTGAGGCCCATAAAAGAGTCCAAACAAAAACCTATTATGCTCACTTTCCTTTGGAAAACTCCTAGAATCTAACCCTAAGACCCTTTTTCAGTGCTGAGTCCAAAGGGATCTAACCCTAATCCAGGGGTATGCAACCTTGGCTCTTTTATGACTCGTGGACTTCAACTCCCAGAATTCCTGAGCCAGCTGGCTCAGGAATTCTGGGAGTTGAAGTCCACGAGTCATAAAAGAGCCAAGGTTGCCTACCCCTGCCCTAACCCTAACATTATCCCTAACCCTAAGCCGACTTTCATTTTCATTATCAATGGGATTTTCTCATGAATTTCTCTGTGGCCCACAGAAGAGTCCAAAAACCTGTTATGCTCACTTTCCTTTGAGAGAACCTCCTAGAACCGTGGTGGCGAACCTATGGCACGCGTGCCACAGGTGGCACATGGAGCCGTCTCTGGTGGCACGCGAGCCATTGCTGGGCTGAGCTGTTCCCTCCTCCTCTCTGCATATGCGCAGCTCTCCGCGCATGCGCAGTCTGGGAATAGGCTATAAAAGGAGCAACTTTCGGCGGAAGCAGCATTTGCTGCAGACAGCGAGCGACCCAGCACAAGTCGGAGTGGACAGCCAGCGAGCGAGCGAGTGAATACGAGCCAACAGCTCGGTGGCCACGCCCACTCGGTGGCCACGCCCACCCGGCGATGCATAACTGGGTTTTGGATTGCAATTTGGGCACTCGGTCTCTCAAAGGTTCGCCACCACTGTCCTAGAATATAGCCCTCACACCATTTTTCAGCCCCAACTAAAATGTGATCTAACCCTAAGACTCACCTTGTTTCATTTTTATTGTCAAAGGGATTTTCCAATGTATTTCACTGCAGCCAACAAAAGAGTCCAAATGAAAAGCTGTTATGTTCTCTTTCCTTTAAGAACCTCCTATTAGGATTTAAAATGGTTCTTGCTTCTCCAGCTGACCAAATGACCACGGTGGGGCACTATTGCTCCATAAAGAAGTGTTGCAGTGCTGAAGAAGAAAAAGTCAGTTGATGAGCTAAGTGCTTATAAAATGCTGGGTCATGGTTTTTGCACTGTAGTGGATGACAGTACCCTGGAGAAGTGTAAGATTCTTAACAAATACTTAGCGGATGCACAGAGCTCACTAAGCCAAATATTTGGCCTAACATATTATGCGAATGCAGCTCTTGTGGTTTGTGAACTATTTATGGTTTACTTTTGTAACGGTTTATTATATAGCTGGGGGGTGTGGAGGGAGAAATACAGAATTTATATGAGCTTATGAGTCTTAAATTATATTTAATCTCTTTTGGACCATAATCTCTAAAGCTAATTATCTTGAGTTGCTCAGAATCAATGAAATAGAAAGCTTTGCAAATGAGCTGCGCACCCCCCCCACACACACACAAACACACAAATAAACCTAGCTGTACTTGAAGGTTATGCCAAAATGTATAGGTGTGGGTTTTAAACACTCCCTCTCGAGATTACAACTGAACACAGACTAGAAGGCTGTGAAGTTTGCTACAAAAACTAGACAGTTTTCATCCAGTAATATTACAAAGGGAGAAACTCCGATTTAAAATTAAGCCTTTAAAGTAATAGCTAGCTCTTTGTAGAACGTCTGCAAGTACTTACACTGAAAGATGTTTATAACTGAACTGACGGAGGAAAGGCTGAGACACTAGAAAGGCCCTCATTAAAAACAGCTACAAACAAAAGAGGCTGGGCCCAGTAAGTGAAGATATTGTGTACATTAAACCTCAAAAAATAATAAGGATTACTGCTTTTTCCCCAGAGGTTATAACCCCAAGAAATACTAAGGACCAGAGCTGTGACATGAAAGAAAACGGAGAGGAAAACAATATGCCATGTGAATGGTCTTTTGGTCCTTATTGCTCTTGGACATATATTAACAACAATGTAGATAAGAGGACCTCCAATGTTGCAAGTGTTATGCCAAAACAGCTAAACTCTGAGATTATAGCAAACTACAAGGAGAACAGCGTTCATGTGGTACAACCATGTACAATGAGAACTCTGTATTGCCATTGTGTTTTATTCAGTACACACAACAATGGCTTAGCATATTGTATACACAGCCACTCACTGGCCATGCATTGCTCTAAATCATAGTATGATTTCATGTGGTTTGAAAAATTGCTCCATTTTGGCTTACTCGGTAAACTATGATTTATTTTAACTCTCTCATTTGTCTAGAAGGCATTGTTTTGGAGAAAAGCCAAGCTCAAAGCCATTCTCTGTTCCAGAATTAACTTTAGGAGTCAACAATTATCTGGGAGACAAGGGGGAGGTGAGCTAGAATGAAAATGGGAAGATAGCAGTGTTTTAAATGTTTGTATTTTTTAATCATTTGTGATAAGATTTAATGCTGATGAGACTTGCTAAAAAGCCTTAATTGCAACAATAGCTAAATAACTCCAGATGTTCCTCTGGCTCTGAAGGATTAAAGTTAGCCATTATTTGGGAAGTTGTTTTAACCGATTTGGTTTTGTACAGTTTGGTTGCCCTGTTGTGTAAATACGTATAGTCTGAGAGGCATTTGCTACATTCTAGATTCAAAGCTGGATATATGTGTATATATGTAAACACAAAGAATTCCATTGTTTTGGCATAGCATTGTGAATGTATTGGGCCATTGTTGTCAGAAAGCCACATGTGAACCCATCTTATATTTTTAGTGTTTGAAGCAGTTTCTTTTTTAAATTAACGTGCTTCTGAGATGTTGCTCATTTAGTGGCTGTAATTTTAGGCAAAAATCTTTATAAATCCATTACTACTGAAGAATAGTAAAACCACTCATAAATTTATCCAATAACATGTCTAGTCTCTGATGCTAAAAGAATCAGGAGACATCAGTTTCTGGCATGGAAAAAAAGAGACCTAGAGAAAGCTGCTTTTAAGTTAGACACACTTTTCTTCACTGGGGGAGGGATGCTGGCCAAAGCCTGTGATTTATCTATTGAGCAGCCTTTTCTATCATGCAGCAATGCTGAGTTGGGCGAGGCAAGGGGTGGTAGGATAGATAGACCAGTTTATGGGGCAATTGTTGGCTCTTCCAAGGTAATGAGCAATCTTTCCCTCTTCCCACACTACAGGTAAGCCAGCAACTGTGCCTGTTTTTCAGACAGAGCCATCAGGGTGACACAGCAGCAATGCTTGATGCCATTATCCATCTGGCACAGAAGAAACAAGAGGCTAGGAGAGCAGTTGCCAAATCTCAGCCAGCTGCAGAAAGCAGCAGTGAGGAAGAACAAGAAACGGAAGAAGAGGTATTGCACAAATTCTTCTGAAAATTAGGACTGAGCTTGTCGAGCAATCTGCATACAAAGTGACTTTGTAAATCTGAATGAAATCTGAAGGCTTTGGGATATGTTCTGCAGAATGCATTGGAAGAATTATAAGCTGATTCTGAAGTCGGCCAATTCTTAAAACTGGGTTTTTATGGGATAGTGGGAATTTAGTTTGCCTGGATTAGGCTTCTGCGAGGCTGGTATCATCAGGCTTAGTCACTTGGTATTGAAAATTAAGAACAAAATTTTTAAGATAAGTTGAAGTTGTTATGTTAGGCACTACATGTTTGTTTTGAGTAAACTGCTGTGTCAGTTGGCAGGAGCCAATTAGTTTATTCAGGAAACCATGAAAAAAGAACAGATTGATCATCTTTGTTGTTTCTTCCTCCTCCAGGCCATGGACTGCAGTGCTGGTTCCAGCGTGAATGGAATACAAAGCAATCCATCTCCGCTGTCAGATAGGACTACTGAAGATGGATGGATGTTGGTGACCAGGAAAAAGAAATGAAGGAAAAAACTGTGGTAGACCTGGACAGATGCAGCAAGCCTTGAATTCTTGTATAGGACAAATAGGCTTCCAAAGAAGCCTGGGTACACTGGAAGCACTTTTGTTGGCTGTATCTTTGCTCCTGATTTAACAGAGGCTAAATGGAATTCAACTTGGTGGCATAAAATATTTTTAATCTTTGAAGTTTCTTCCCCTTCAAAATTGGACGATGTCCTTTTGCTTCAGTAACCTTCCTGGAGTTTGAAATGAACATTGAACAACAATGTAGGGTCCTTGACAGAAAAAGTTCTCCTGCCGTGTCCTGTTCACCGATCATCTTGTTCAAGTCATTGGAAAGGAAGCAACTATTTCCCCCAAATCTAACCACCTTTACTATGCAAAGAAAGGACTGCATTCACTCTTAGGCAAAGAAAAAAAAAGAGCGTAACAGAAAAAATCTTGTATTTAAAAAAAAAAGAACAATGAAAAAACAAAATACAACAATGAAACAAAAAGTAAAATGGACAATACACAAATCATGATGGTAGGACACAGGAAGTTTTGGTCAATAAAAGCTTCCCATCCCTAACCTTTGCAGTGGCCAGCCACTATACAAGAGCAACAATAAAATATTATTTTGGTAAGATTTTGTATATCCCTTAATACTGAGGCCTTTTTTTAATATAAAAGTTACATGCACTAGTTCTACACCACAGGAGGGCGAAGATAAAAGAATACCATGGGTACCAACAGCAACACCAGGAAACCTACATAAAATAAGGCAAGGATTTGTTCTTGTTTCTTCTTAAAATCCCACATACACACACAATCTCCACTCATTTGTGTGTTGAAACAGTACCAGCAAAAAAAAAGGGAGGAAAGGAGAGGGATACGTTGGGGGAATTTTAAGAACTTCCAAGATCATCCAATAAGGCTCAAAAGAGTTCTAAAATGTTAAAACCATTTTAAGTGCATTGTATCAAGGAGAGGAAGCACCTGCATTTAGTTTCAAGGAAAGAAGATTACTTCATCCTATTGTAATAACCACACTTTGTATGGAATCTCATGCACATATATATCTCTTGTTACCTAGACCAGAAGTGATCCATTTTAAGCCAGCTGGGAATTTCACATTATTTACGAATGGAATGCCTTCATTGCTATCGGGGACAGTACTTTCCTGGGTATTTGATGCTGGAGATTGGCTCTTGAAAAACAGCATAAAGTGGTTCTAAAATTGCAAATCAATACATACGTCACTAATATTTTTCCTTTTTTTGAGCAGTGTTATGAAAACCAAATAGCAATAGCACTTAGACTTATATACCGCTTCACAGTGCTTTACAGCCCTCTGTACAGCCCTTACAGTGTCAGCAACAATCTGGGTCCTCATTTTATCAACCTCAGAAGGATGGAAGGCCGAATCAACCTTGAGTCGGCCAGAATCGAACTCCTGGCAGTAGGCAGTTGGAGCCTGCAATAGTGCATTTTAACCACTGCGCTACCACGGCTATAAGCAACTTTGCGTGCTCTGAATTTGGTTATTGAGAAAGGCTGCTTTTGCTTGTACAGTTAGTCCTCGACTTACAACAGTTCATTTAATGATCGTTTGAAGTTACAATGGCACTGAAAAAGTGACATGACTGTTTTTCACACGACCATTGCAGCATCCCCATGGCCGTGTGATCAACATTAAGACACTTGGCAATCAACTCATATTTATGATGGTTGCCATGTCCCGGGGTCATGTGATCACCTTTTGCAACCTTCTGACAAGCAAAGTTAATGGAGAAGCCAGATTCACTTAACAACCATGTTAGTAAATTAACTGCAATGATTCACTTAACATCTGTGGTAAGAAAGGTGGTAAAATGGGACAAAAGTCACTTAACAACTGTCTCATTTAGCATTTGTAAGTTGAGGACTACATTTACATTTAATGGAGAAATTAATACTGCACTAGCACCATATTCTAATATTTGCAGCTCTTAAGCCAGGACTTCGGCAGTCTATCCAGCAATTTGGCCCTAGTCTGTATTTCACTAACCCTTAAAAGAATTCCAAGATGAAAATATATTCTCAAGCATTCCCCAGTCTCTCCCATGGGCCACTTGAATGGAGGTTTTCTGATATGTTTGAGAACTTTCTGCACCTTCCTTTGACCCAAGAAGTCTAATCTTGCCCAGCCCCATTATTGAGAGTTCACAAGCCACTGGAGGCATAGACTTGTTAAATAAGTTGGGGTGAAATGCTGAAGCTGAAATGAATGAGATTTGAAATCTCTGGACTTTCGAACTCTTAGTTGTATTCCAATTTAATGCATGTAGTCTCTAGCATCTCTACTGTTCACCGTAGAAACTTTCTCCCTTAGCATGTCTATGCTCCATGTTCCTCAAAAAGATGACATTTTAGATCAGTAGTAGGTAAGATATGACCCTCCAGAGTCAACTTCCATCAGTTCTTGACAGTATGGCCACGTGATGGAAAATGATAGGAGATCCAGTCCAACAATATACACAGAAGGACACAAGTGCCCACCTGATGATCCGTTAATAGTAGAAAACGACAGTTCTCTTTTTGCCGTTCAATTTAATTGAAAAAAAGGGCCAAATTAGAAAACTGGGTGTTATCCAACTGGTACCTGGAGGGTTTTATAGCTTGAGTTCAGTGGAACTGAAATCAGTCTTCGGATTCCACAAAGTTGTAACAGGAAATTAATAAGGGGATGTATCCAACTCATGAGTTCTTGTGATGAGGAAGAACTTATCCTCAAGAGAGAAGCTGTACAAAAGTAAAGACAATCTTTTTTTTTCTTCCCTCAATCTAACCCAACCCAGATTTACTCCCATTTGGCACAAAAATCAAGACTGGTAGAATGGCTTCAAGTTACAATGGAAGATTGCCTACCTATTAAATCTGCAGCAGACTGAAACATCCTACACAATCTCAAACAGAGATGGGGAATTAGAGGAATAAGTTATCAAAACAAGAGGCAAACAGATACTTGAGAAAGGACGCTCCCCCATTTTTGTCTTCCCAAATTACTGGAGTTCAGTAAGTGCTAAATAAGCAGTGGGGGATTGGAAGAACAGATCTTGGTCCAAGAGGTAAAGAAGGGGGAAGCACATTCTTAAAGAAGAAATCACTTTCTCAAATCAGTTTTTCCATGCATAAAAGAGAACATGAAAGGAACTAAGCTGGAGGGGGTATGTGGGATACTGCATGCTATGGTGTGGGAAGAACTGGCCTGGAGCAAATCTCAGTGCATGTGCTTTATCCCTATGGCTGGGGTATGGCAGAGAACATCATTGGCCGAGGACAGGTCAGATGGCTATGGCAGATGCTGACAAAAAGAACTGAGAAAGTGCTAGACGGAAAGAGGAAGAAGGAAAAATAGTTTCAAGTATACTGGTCAGAGAATAGTGAGTAAGGTCCCCATGTGGGCAGAGTCCATTTCTCCCAGTTCCTCAGGCCCATGCCTAGGTTCTCTCTGCTTCTGTATCCTCATCGGCCTCCAGAATTGAAGGTGGAGTCTTCGCTTCTTCTCCGCGGCCTGCCCTGCTCAACACTTCCATCCATCGCTGCCGCAGCTCCTCAGTCTCGGGGCTGAAATACCAACACAGATGGCTCTGGCTGATCCGGAAGGCATGGCGTCGGTCCACCCGTTCGCTGGGCTCAGGAAGGCTGACTTCAAATCCAATCAGAGGCATCGAGCGCAGGGCTTTTACATCCTGTAGGATGACAGAGCAGGAAGCACAACGAGTGGTTACCAACTGGCCTGGTGAGCCGAGATCAATTGACCTTCTGACTTAGGCTCATCTTCTCCCAAAGGGATTCAAAACTAACTGAGCATTCATATCAGATGAGCCCATTGGCTTTTGACAGCCGATTTTTATCCGAAGGTGACATGAGACACCCTTGAAGTCAGGAGAAGACCCGAATGCAGCCCTTTTTTTTGAAGCCTCAGAGCCCCATTATCATTCAACAGCCTTTCAACCCCATAATTCCAAGAGGCAGCACCCAAATAAGCTATTAGCAAAATAGATGCACTATAGGCCTTTTCGATGCTTACCCCGTGTCCCCAACTGAACTGACCTCCCCAAAGATGGCATCCCTGTTGTCATTGCTGTGCACTTTGTGGCTATTAAAAAGGAAGGAAGTGCAATCCTTGCGTGTTGCCCGCCTGCACCTTAAAATGTGTGACTAGGATTCTTACTCTAAACCCTGGAATGGAGTTGCCATTCTTACACAAAAGGAGGTGTATTGCTGTCTCTCAGGTTAGGTTAAAGCAAGGAATCAAAAGTAGATGGCAGAGGGGCAGAGAGGCACTCCCATACCTGTGGAGCTCCATAGATGTATAACACCAGAGGTTCATTTTCAGGGATGACAAACCAGCCTTTGTGCCAAGCCTTCCCTCCTTTCTCCATGTAGTGCAAGAAACTGCAGATCACACTATTCTCTGCCACCACCGAGGCTTGTTTCTGCAGAAGAGCAGAAAGGTAAGTATTACCCACCAAGATCTCTGCTTCATGTGCTACACCATAAATGTATGAAATCTAGCAATTAGAGCAGAGGCGGGGAACTATGGCCCCTTCATGACTTGTGGACTACAACTCCCAGAATTCCTGAGCCAGCAAGTCATAAAGGGGCCATAGTTTCCCCACCTCTGAATTAGAGCATAGATGGGAAATCTGATTTCTCTTCCTCATCTGCTACTGCTGCTGAATTACAGCTCCCGATATCCCATGGTATTTGACCATGCTTGTGGAGCTGCTGGGAGTTGTGGTTCAGCAATGCCAGGAAGTCACAAGTTCCTCACCATTTGGCTTGAATGGTAGACAACCAAGTTTCAGACTACATTCAGCCACAGAATTTATAGAGAGATACCAACCTAATCTGCCATACATAGAGACAGACAGATTGACAAGACTAGCATTTTCAAAACCTGTTAAAGCAATAGCGTTTTGTAAATATAGAAATGGCTTATATCTATTCCAATTGGTCAGTCAAAGGCAAGACATATGTCTACAATAACACTATGTTCAAGCATAAGTTTCTAATTGGAAAGAGTAAGAAATAGGACAAGCTAATGAGAAGCAGGCAAATCGAAGAGAAAAATGAGGGATGGGGAAGGGAAGGAGTTTGAGAGAGAGAGAGAGAGACAGAGAGAGAGAGACAGAGAGAGACTGTAAGATTTCCCATACTTTGCTCTGCTCTGTTGCCATTGCTCCTGCTGGAACTCTCCATATAAAACAAAGTTCAAGGTTACTCTCTGGAATCCTTCAAAAACATCTCAGGCAACAGAGACAAAAAAAACCTTCAGAGTTATTATTGAGTACCTGGCATCAGTGCTTGGGCCACATCCAGATAGTCTTTCACATTTTGAATTTGAAAGACTATTTAATCAGTAAAATTTCTAAAATATACATATCTAATAACATACTGTTTCAGTTTTCTGTATTTTTACAAGCCTGATACCAATACACATCTTCTCTTTTCATCCACTAATAAGCAAATATGTTTGTTCTCCATTTCAGGGTGCAGTGTCTTACGATGTGAGAATTGTGTGGAAAAGAAGATGTGCACTTTCGGATCTTCTGAATCCTTGTATATTTTTGCCAATAAAGCTTATCGGAGCTTCAAGGGGATCCTACAGACATTGTATTGGTGGGGAAAATGTGGCAAGGAACATAAGGCTAAAGAAAATTTGCACAAAGAGCTGCAAGAAATAGATTTAAAGAAAGAAAATTCCCTCTAGAGTGTCCTATCAAAGAAATCCAGCAGATAGCTGGTCCGAAGAAAACACTTTGTTATCTACAAAGATATAAGAACTACTCTTACCTCCAGAATGGATTTTCGGCGTTGGGGGGTGTTGGGATGGGGCACAGGGCTGCCAGGGGAGCCATGAAGCGTGGAGTAACAGTCAGTGCAGACACGGTTTGGCCGGTTGTTGTCATACACCAAGCGGGCCCGGAACTCTGAGCATTTTCCACAGACAACCTGCAGGAGAAAACTTACATCAGTGGTGATAGGCACCCAAAATCATCTAGAGGAAGTTTTAGGCTTCTTCCATACTGGACCCTTCAACTGCTCTTCTCTCCCATGCTCAGGTGGGCTGGCAAGAAAGGATTTCAGTCTGTTCTTCAATCTTGGAACAATGCTGGGAAGCAGATCTCTTCAGATAAGGGTTAAGATGGCTACTTGATGGCTGATGGCTGAATTTCTGGCTGCTGCTTCTCTGTCACCATGCACCAGGATGTTCTATCCCAGCCTATAGCTGGCCTTGTTAAAGGCACAAGGACCAAACCCCTGTTGAGAAAATAGGCTGGAGACTCAAAACAAAACAAACCCCTTTTAATATGGGTAACCAACCTGCCAAATAGTCCAGAAACAAAAGCAGTAAAACACAATCCAAATGGAGGAAATTGTCCACACAAAACACGATGCAAACAGAAAAGTAGTCACCGGCAATACTAACAGAACATGATCCCATGAAGTACTTTGCAACAGTTGCCTTCAGGAACCAGCATCGCCCACACCTTCCCTTTTTATACAGCAGTCCCAAGGCGTTGCCTCTCAGTGCCTTCTCCTCCCCCCCTGGAGTTGTCGTATTGACTGCTGCTGATCTGCTCTCGCTAATTGCCGGCGTCTACAAGCATCAATCATCATGTCCATCAGGTGTGAATCCTCCAAGTCTGACTCATTCTCCCCACACAGCTGAGCTTCATCAGGAACACTACTGGAGGGCCCAGGCTCTTAATCAAACCGTGAGTCTTGTAATTCATCAGAGCCTCCCTCTGACCCTGATGGCCCTTCAAATGCCTCCTCCACCTTCTCCTCAGATTCCCCAGACTCAGCTGTTGGGAACACAGGCTGGCATGGAATCACGACACTGGACAGGAGTTGGATCAGTCGCCTAGATAGGCTGTCTTCTACAGGTTTTAGTAAGAGATTTACCATAGTCTCTCTGTCTAAAACAACTTGGCCTTGTGGCAAAGGTGCTGTTGAGACCATTTGCTATTTGCCCTGATTATAGGGGCAATCAGCTAATCCCTATTTCTCCTTTACTGACACCATTTGTAGGACAAAGTGAAAACATTCTCACTCTCTTCCTTCTGTCAGATAAGAAAACTCATATCATGTATAGTGTTGCCATATTCTAAATGACAATGAAGATCAACTGGGGGCAAATATACTTTTTTATTGACGGGCTAGTGTTTTAATCTGATGGTTAATCTTTTAGAATTTAAATTTATTGTTCTTTATCTGTACTGATTACTGACTGAACATTTTCTACTTAATTTCCTTGCAATGAGTAGTCCTCAGAGATCTCTGCTTGTGCTTTTATAGATCTATGCTGAATATTTGACACTTTTGAACATATCCATTTCACATGACCAGTAGTCCTTTCCCAAGATCACTGGACAGTATCTAATCCCATGGGCAGGGGATCACTCCATATAGAACAGAGTTGGGTCCATTCTTGTTCTGGTACACTGATTGAAACAGAGGAGACACACATTCAGCAGTGCATCAGGTCAATAGTTTGGAATGTCTAGACTAGAGTACTTTGTTAGGTTGTTTTGTACTTTTTTGTGGCATGTATCCTAGGAGTCTGCAGGGGCTGCGGCAAATAAAATGAATGAATGAATGAATGAATGAATGAATGAATGAATGAATGATGGAAGGTCCTCTCTGGGAAGAAAACAAAACACACAGAACTTCTTGCTCCAAGTTTTGCTGCTTTTATGTTATCACAAAATTGGATAAGTTGTAAATAGCTCAGAACTCTCCAAATTTACTAGGTTGCCAAAGAACTCAAGGTAACATTTGTACCAACCCTCTCTTCAATTTTACTAATCCTGTATGGTAACTTGGGCTATGTAATAGTGGATGGATCTAAGTCTCCTGTAACAATGGCTGACACACACCCCAGAGCAGACAAATCAGACGGAAAAGCTTCATGGTCAGCACTAAAAACAACAAGCATCCTGGGAGACAAGACTGAAGTAGCTCATTAACACAGCTTAATGCAAAGTTGATAGCTGTACCTTGCCTCTCTCTCCACAGAGGAAACTGGGAAGAGGGGATTAGGGTGTGGAGAGATATAATTTGAAGGGAAAATCACTCACATGGCCACAGGCTCGGCAATGATGCCTCCGTTTGGTGAGAGCGTTGAAGGGCTCTTTGCATTGCATACACAAAGTCACCTCTTTTTCCCGGATTGGCGTGGGTGCTCTTCGGCCCAACTCACAGCCCTGCAAAGTCGGACAGGGGCAGAGGAGGGAGGGATAGCATTAAAACAAACCTACTCATATTAAAAAAGTTAATGTATATTTCAGTGCTCAACCAAAAAGCTAATATCGGTATATTTAAAGTTACAAAGAGGGAGGAGATGCCACACTGGCAAATATAACATTGGCTCGGAGACTAATCCAAATTCTCAGGAAACTTCAATTAAAAAGAACGCAACCTTGCAGTTCCTAGCAACAGCACAAATATGTCTTTAAAAAATGTATAGAAACAATACCTGGTAAAATTTCATACTCTAGAGCAGGGGTGTCAAACTGCCGGCCTGCGGGCCGGATGCGTCAACGTGGAAGCAAGGAGAAAAAAGTTGTGATATGTTGCGACATGTCATGTGACGTGGCGAGGTTGACACCCCTGTTCTAGAGCACTGTTTCCCAACCTTGGGAATTTCCAACATTTAGATTTCAAGCTCCAGAATTCCACAGCCAGCCTGGCCATTGAAGGAAACTGAGTTGAAGTTTACACACCTGAAAATTGCCAAGGTTGGAAAACACTCCCAGAGGAATAACCAAAAAAAGACAGAACTAGTTTTGCAAAATTAAGAGAAGTCTTGCTGATTAGCAGAAAGGTACACAGATTGCACAATGCCATTTTTATTTTCACATAATTCTAATGAATTGTTGCAGTTTTTTGCCTTTTAATTAATTTGCATACTGGCTACAGCCAATCTTACAAATATCTCTCAGCTGAGACACTTTGACATATACACTGACACACTGCAGCAGTAAATTTTTGCTTGTTTCATCAGAAATCCGGGTGCATACTCCTTCTCTCTTTCACTCTAGCTCTCCCTGACACACATACAACTGCGACTCACTGGTGAATTAGGCGGCGTTTCATCTTCACTGGCAAGCTGCTTGAACATTTCCAGCGTCTGTTCGTGTTTCTGAATTGTAGCCTGTATTGCCTATAGATTTAATGATATATCTTTGATTACAAAATGGAAGGAGGAAGGAAAGAGCAGATCTGGGAAAAGAAACAAGCCCAGCCCTTTTCAGTGAAGCAAGGATAAAACCACGTTTAATGAGTTCCTAGGTACACAGCCATCTACCCAGAGTCTGTCTGGCACATCATGGTTTATGATGCAAGCAACAATATCTCATTTATCTCTACTTTTGGCTTCTTGTTGTTGTTGTAAGAAACGGAACAGACATGAGTGCAGGTGCAAGGTCTGTCACATACTAAGGTGCATGATAATGCACATGATCTTCATGGATACATGCCCAATGCTCTGAATCTGCATTGCTTGAAAGTAGTCTATACAGGGCCACCATAGATCTTCAAAAAATTAATTTGGGACAGGATTATCTCACCCCATTTTGATCAAATGTCCCTCCCAACATCTGCTGGACCTAAGAAACTCATCCACTCTAAAATAATCTAGACAGTGTTTTTCAACCTCTGCAACTTTAAGGTATGTGGACTTTAATACCTGCTGGCTGGGAAATTCTGGAAATTGAAGTTCACACACATTAAAATTGTTGAAATGGAGAAACGTGTATCTAGAATGATTCCCAGTCATCTGCTAATCAAGAGAAATCTCTCTCCTCCCCCTTCTTCTAAGCTTAAAAAGACATGGATTTGAACTTTGTGAGAGGTGACGTAGTTGTAACAGTATCTGAACTCTTCGTTTTCTTACTGGTTCATACAAATAAATCACTATGTGTAAATTGGGTAGCTATATAAATTTGTTTAATAAGTAACAACAAATACAGCAATATACATAGCTTGAGCAGCAATATTGAATTACCTGGATCCAGTCTCTTTTCTCTTCTTCAGTCCTAAAAGAGAAAGATCATTGTTTTCCCAAGGCATTTTAGCTGCGGTAATAACATGGTTCATCTCAAAAAAAAAAAAAAAAAGAGTACAGTAGTGGGATATATATACGTATGCATGTTGTACTCTCTTGATGGGAGGATTGACCAATTAGTCTGATTTGGGATGTGACGATGAAGGAAGAGCAAGGAGAACTAAGATGTGAGAATTATGGAACTCCTACTGATGGGATTCAAAGGAAAAGGAGCAGAAAAGGAGAATCACTGAGTCACAAAGATGAGTTGCTCAATAGAAGGCAATTCGTTTACTTTGAGAAAAGAAAATAGGAGAGACTTAAGTTTTCCACCTGTACCTGGCCTGAAGCTCTAAGGATCGCTGCTTCCCTGATACAAGGAAGGTCCGAGGCACATTGAGGCTGCTGGTCTCTTTTAACTGCATAGAAGAGAAGAGGCACAAGGTTGGTTCACACAGGCAAGTTGACCTTTCCTCAACTGCCTTGCCACAGGCAACTACCATTCCCCGATGCATATCTGAACGCGTGACAGCTAACTTTGAAATCTTTGTGGCCATGCTTTGAAAAACTGGCTCCCACAATCACGATCAGTTTATTTACTTAAAGTATTTATCTCTCATTCATTTATTTGCCATTCTATCCAATCTTTCCTCTAAGGAACCTGGGGCAATGCACATAAGTTGCCTTTAGTCTCACAAAAGCAACTTTGTGAGACAGCTTAAATTGAAAGATAGAGACTGACCCAGGTTCTCCATGGGGCCCTCCACGAGGTTCAAGTTCAGTCCAGCACTTCAACCACTGGCTGCGCTGACTAAACCACAATGTTCTGAAAACCATTCAGATTTTCTTCAAATACTAATTTAGAATATAATCTCATTATTTGAATCAGAAAATAAAATAAACATGTAGCCAAGTTACTCTGTCCCGTTTTATTTTATGTTGTGTTTTACTGCTATCTAATCATTCGGCCATTATTTTTTAAGAGGCTGAATTTCTTTTCCATTCAAGAACCTAGTCCAGTGGTGGCGAACCTATGGCACGGGTGCCAGAGGCGGCACTTGGCGCCCTCTCTGTGGGCACGCGCGCCGTCGCCCCAGCCTCGCCTCCCCCCGCGGCCCCCTCCTCTCCAGCAGCCCCCCTGAAGGAGAGTCGCCCTCAAGCGTGGCCCACACGGAGCAGCGCAGCCAAGGACATGGCAGCCAGGCAGCGTAGACAAGACTCTGCCCTCACGCCCCATCACACACAGTTGATGCTGCAGGGCGCGTGCGGGCAGAGGGTGTGGCTGCCATAGCGCTGCTGGGCTGCCTGGGCGATCTGCGGCGGGCCCTGGAGCGGTGAGTGGTCCTGTGGGCAGGCGGGGCAGGGGGGTGGAGCGGGGGCAGGGCCAGTTTTTTGCGCACTCGGTCTCTAAAAGGTTCGCCATCACTGACCTAGTAGAACTAAAAAGGAGTAGGGAATCCACTCCTCTGCCTCTCTTTGTACTGCATGTGCTAATCAATATTTCCCCATTCGTATTCCAAAAAAGGTGAAGGTGAGTCAAACGGTTTACTTGTGAATCTTTATCTAGTTCTCCCACTGCTTCTTCTTTCTTTACCTCCATTCCTTCCACATCTATGCGAGCACGGACTCCAAATTTCTGGCCTATGAGACGCAGTTTTGGCACACAGTAAAGCAATCGGTCGTTGAACTGGACGAAAAAAGAAAAGAAATAGCAATAAGAAGCAGAGATCGTTCCTGACTCTCCAAGATTGATAGTTAAAAGCCAAACCAACAGTGTGGGTGGAGAGTCCCACACACACTGCCTCTCACCAAGATCAGGTAGCGGTCTTGGGTGGTACCATTCTTAGCAGAAAGCTTCAGGATGTGCCCTTCCTTGATGAGTTCATTGGTGGGATTGACTATGTCTTCCTCACCTCCAAGCAGCTCGTACACTTTCAACAGTGAGTGCATTCTTTCCTAGAAGAAAAGATATAGCCAGGTATAGTAAAGCATGTCTTTGAAGTTGCTACACACAACTCTGTTGTGTTGAAAGAAATAATACAGTATGAAGGACAATTTGGGAAACCTTCCAGATATTGTTGAACTATAAATTCCCTTCCAGCCTCACGTCCGTAATGATCAGTCGTGGTCCACTGAGAGTTATAATTCTGGATCATCTGGAGCACCCACTGGTTCCCCACCTGTGACACATTATGCAACTTGGGTAGGAAATCCAAATCCAAAACAGAACTTGGCCATTGAGATGAATGGTAATCTGGAGGTAATAGGTCGAGGTAAAGGTTTCCATGTCGGTTGTGTCTGAATCTACAGTGTGATGCTCATCTCTGCTTCTTGGCCAAGGGAGCCAGCATTGTCCAAAGACAATTTCCGTGGTCATGTGGCCAGCATGCCAAATGCTGTTACTTTCCCACCAAAGTGGTACCTCTTAATCTACTCGCATTGGCATGCTTTCAAACTGCTAGGTGGGCAGTTCACTCCATTGGCACGGTGCTCAGCTCTTGAACCTGGGCTGCCAACTGACAAGCTCGACAATTAAAGACATGCCCCAATAGGTAAGAACTCATGGAAAACAGCGCATAGAAAACAACTTGTGCTTTTCAAAGGATTTTTTTTTATTAATTATAATTGACACAGTATCCATCTTACTTGATATACCAGTTTGTCAGGGTCTGAATTATAAGGATTTTTTTTTTATTAAAGAAGCCTGGGTTCACTCCCAGTAACTCATTCCTCAGAGTCTTCTAAAAATAATAAGTATCTTGATCAAGGGGACCAGAGTTCTGTAATTCAACACTGCCTGCAGCTGTCAAGCTCTATTTTACTTGTACGCAAGAAACTTTTCATACTTTCTGCCTGTCTAATTGAAGGCCAGATTACCCATTCTGACTGAACAATTAAGTAGGATAAATATTCGGGCCCTATGTGCAAAAAAGCAGTTCTTATGCTGAAGGATCTTACAATTTAAAAATTGTCCATTGGGAGCAAAAGGTAAGTGATATTTGGTAGCAAGCTGAATATTTATATTCAGTGCTGGTTGTGTTATTAGTCTTAAAATTGAGATGGCAAACTTTCAAGCAATAAGCTAAAGCAGACTCTAACATGGACACATAGTTTGGGGAAGAATAAAATATGTGAATGTGATTTTGAACTGCATTCCAAACATATGGAAATTATCAGTAAACGAGGAGCTCTGGATTTACCAAACATGGGGCACAACAATAAAGATGCATTTTTTATGATGGAACTGGACCCCAAATTTACATCCTTGGATTGATTATATCCTTAAAACTGGCTCTTTCCACCACAAACTCATCAATATTAATCTGTGTTGTCAAAATTTAATGCTGGAGCTTTTTATTGTACATCATAAGATGCTTTTGTTTCTTTTTATTTTGCATTTTTCAAATTTTTTATTTCTGTTGACTAAAGCAATTAAAACAAATGGACAATCCAATATGGTACAGTTTAACCTCAGGGTCCGTTTTAAAGTGGTCTAAAAGAGAAGTCAAAAGATTTTAGGAAAGAGACTTGGTTTATGGGATTTCTATGTCTACTACAACCTCACTCATATAATTACTCTGTTATCTAAGAGAAAACAGAGAACATGCTTTGAATGCAGATTATCCCAGCTTCAATTATAGCCTGTCCAGTTTAGAAAGGAACATGTAGGGCAGTGGTGGCGAACCTATGCGGTGGGGGGGGGGGCGGGGCCAGTTTTTGGGCACTCGGTCTCTAAAAGGTTCGCCATCACTGATTTAGGGGGAAATTATCTGGCTGAAATTTTAGATAGAGCCTAAATTGAGCCAGGAAGACATCTGACTTGATAAAAACAAACCATATCCAGCAGTATACGGAATTTGATTCTAAAAAGCTACTGAAATAACCTTCCATGCAAAAAACTGAACTGACCAGTACGGAGGTAAAGAGACTTGGGAACAGAGCCTATTTAGAGGCAGGGATGAGAATAGTGAGAGGAGAGGATTTGAGAGTAGCATTTTCTGGGGTACTAATAAAGACACAAATCCCTGCTATGGATGTTGATCTGTATGTATACAGATGGAGATGGAGGCAGAAGGCCTGTGTAATTGATTACACAGAACATAATACAGTACACGGTTCCATGTCAGATCAGACCCTTTGTTCATTTAGCCAAGCACCATATCCAACATAATTTCTCCATATCCTTGGCTAGAAGTCTTTAACACCAGCTCCTTCCTGATGCTTTTCCCCTACTATCCACTAGGATCTTCTCCATAGTAGGCAGCAATGTGGCCAAGAGAAATTATGTGATGAACATCATACTTAATTAAAACTGCCTCTGAACTGGGCCTAGAGATCTGAGGAAATGTCAACTCCATTCATAGGTATAGTCTCTCCTCAGGATCTAGTTTGAATCCATTCCCCAATGCACTCCTACTTCTAAAGACAGGAAAATCCAGGCAGGTGCTCTTTGATAACTATCATTCTGCTCGCTCTTACCATTTTGCGGATGGCGGCATTTGAATGTTCTGCAGCAGTTGCAATAAGTTCCAGGGATTCTATGTAAGAGGAGGAGTAAAAAAAAAAAAAGAGAATCAACATTACTTTATTGGCCTTACTCCACAGAGAAGCTCCAATTAAAGTAGAAACACAGACTATACCCCAGTTTATAACCATCTTTCAAGCAAAAGGCATGCATAGTGGGATCTGAAGGATTCCTCTCAAGCGGGCTGACAGCTAGGATGGATGGCTAGGTTAGTACAGGTAGTCCTTGACTTACAATAGTTCATTGAGTGACCGTTCAAAGTTACAAGGCCACTGAAAAAAGCGACTTATGACCATATTTCAGTTACGACCTTTGCAACATCCCCACGATCATGTGATCAAAATTCAAACGCGTGTCATCGAGTTCATATTTACGACGGTTGCTGTGTCCCAAAGTCATGGGAATCCCATTTCGCATCCTTCTGACAAGCAAAGTCAATGGGGAAGCCAGATTCGCTTAACAACCATGTCACTAACTTATCAACGGCAGTGATTCACTTAACAACGGAGGCATTTAAAAAAAAAAAACAACACAACCCAACTCTCATAAGCTTTGTAAACGTAAGATTTCTTGAAATGGAAATAATTTCATTGGAAGGGGGAGAAAGAAGGGGCACCTTTTGTGGATCCGGAAAGTAGCCTGACCCTCACCACATTGCGGAGTCCCAATGGAGTGGAGAGCTGCCATTGTGGCTAGCCAACTGACCACTGTTTGAGTATAATGAATTCTGAACCTGGCTTGCCTTGGTCTGGCACTTCTTTCAGATGTTACTGACTGACCCAAGAGATCCAAATGGTTATGGGGGGGGCAAGAAATAGCTCCTAATGACCCAGGAGCCAATAATGCATTTATGTCGCATTCTATTTCCCCTCCCGTGCTTGCTGTGACTAAGATACTGCCTTACCCACTGCCCTGTCCTTCTCCTTACTATCCCCTGAGAACTGCACTCACTTTGGGCATCCTTGCAGTCAGGCGAGTCCTGGGGCAGTTTCAGGAGATAGTCCTTCAGAAGCAGCTCGTAGCGAGGGATTCTCTGGACCGGTTCCAGCATGTGATGCTGCAGGGTCAGGTTCCCACATAGCTCTTCCCGCTGCAACAGAGAGTGGTCTCAAGAGAACTGTCTGCCTGGCAGTTCTCCAAAGGCAAAATTTTGCCTGCCCTTGCAGGGAACTGAGACCCAGGGAACTAAAGGCAGCATTCGTAAGAGTGAGTCAAACATCCCAGGAGATCCATGAGGATTTGCTCTTTCCCAATAAATCCTTCCGTAGGCACAGAGTTTGTCTGGATTTTGGGCCACAAAGGGAAATCTGGACTGTTCTGTCAAATCCTCATTGCTAAGCAATGGCTTCCCAATCCACCTCCTTATTTATGCTGTACAATACTCGGAGGAGGATGGATGTAGTGAAATAATCCCCCACCCATCCCACCAAGTTTTGCTTCTTTTCTTGGGGGGCACATAAATCAAGCAAAGTTACTCCTCAGCATATAATATTCTTTCAATATTCAGTAGGAGACATGGTGCCACGTTAAAATGGGAACGGGATTGTGTCCATTCCCTAGATTGCTTCAACTAGTAGGTTTTGCTGGGGGGGGAGGGGGTTGGGGAGGGGGAAGGAAGGAGAGGCGTATTGTTGCAACAAAGTCTAAAGAAAACGCAGGTGACCAACCTGTATTTCATGGATAATGCCCTTGAACTGTGTTGAGCGCTCCATCCAGGTGTTTACCAGTTCCATGGCACGGTCGAAATTCTTCACATACTCGCCATACATCTTGAGAAAGGGAGCCAGCTTTTGCAAGATATCCCCAATTCGTGGGTGTTGGTCCCTGGGAAAAAAAGAAATAATGAGATATAGGAAGGGAAAAGAAACATAGAACCAAGGCTAAGAGGAGATTCTTCACTCACAGGTTCTGTTGCACATAAAATACCAGCTAAAATATGCTGATTTCTTATTTGCAGTATAACTAATTAAATCATTCTGGTTTGTGAAACCACAGTTTAGTGTCTTCTGTAAAACTCTACAAATGACTTTGTTCAGTACTTTCCCATCAAAGGGAGAATTTGACTACAAATTTAAATGGAAAGTAAGTTACAGTAAATAATTGTTCATTAGAACTCAAGAATACTAACATTAGGGAGATTCATAATTCTCAAGCCTTCTGATCTAAAAAAAAATAAAGATGAAAGCCTTCTTTTTATTATAATATTTGTGACCTGCCCCACAGTTAAACAAATTATTTTTTTTAAAAAGAGAACAACCACACTACTCTAGATAAATATGCACAATTAATTGTAGCTAAAACTATGATGAGATAAAGATGCTTTCACAGTTTTACAAAATGCTAAAAGGGAGACAGGTATACCCGGGGGGACGAAGTCTTTCAAAACATTGGGACCATGGTAGACACATTACAAAAATAAGAAACATAAAATGAACATTTCAGTTAAGCTTTAGATTTGCAGATTTACAGAGAAATATTTAAGAAATATTTAAGAAAAAGGGAAACATTTGGAAGACTTGGATCAGACATCTTTTTTAATTTCTGCAATTCCTGGATTAGGATAAAGATGACTTAAGTACTTAATTATTCAAACATGGCAGATTTGCAGATGTGTGGACTTCCAACTTCCAGAATTCCACAACGTTCTGGGAGTTGAAGTCCACACATCATAAAGATGCCATGTTTGGAAAATGCTGGTTTAAAAGTTATGGCTGCATCTACATGGAAAAATAAAGCAGTACTGTACCTGTACACTGGAGAGCCTGGATTATTGCAAATGAGCATTATTATTACACCTTTTTGTACCCACTCAATTCTTCCCACTAGAACAAGAAGCAAAGCTAACCAGAAATGGGTTCTTTAGCATATCACCTAATCTGGTACCCAGCTTATTTCTTCAGGACCAAAAAAACAGTTTTGGTTTGGTTTACTTTTTATTTTGGGGTAAAATTACAATCCTGTTTTCTGAAAGGAGCGACAAGTCAGGATCCCAGAACTGGACAGGTATAGCCAACTCTGTTATTTCTGTTATTCTCTTATTTAATATGAATCAGGGGACAGATCCTTTTCTGGCCTCAGGTGCCTCTGCTCCAAACCCCACACAAGCATATTATCAAACAGCTTTTATTTCCTCTGCTGCAGCAGTGCCGTAGTACCTACGGCATTATTGGTATCTAGTTCAGCCGCCTACATTAATAGAAGAAATTGAACAACAGGAAAAGACAGCAGAAAAGTTCCACAGCAAATATAACTTGTGAATCCACAACAGGTTACATTTAAAAACCACCAAAAATGAAGATTTAGAGATGATCAGTTCAAAGTTATGTCTAAGAGACAAGAACCCTTCCCTGTGATACAAGACGGTTGACCATGGATTATATGCTGGCAGGTTATTTTGGAAATTGCTGGAGGATACTAAGTTGAAAAAGATGAGCTATCTAGATAAAGCAGGAATTGTCACAAAAGGCAAAGGAGGTGAAGCATAAACATTCAAAAAGAAGACAAAGTCAGGAAGCATCAAGCTCAACAATTTAATACCTTAGAACAGTGGTTCTCAACCTTTTTAATGCTGCGACCCCAACCGGTCGTAAGTCGAGGACTAAAGCGGTCATAAGTCGAGGACTAAACCGGTCGTAAGTCGAGGACTACCCAACCGGTCGTAAGTCCAGGACTTTCCCTGCCCGGGAGCGCCGCGCATGCGTGGTTCCGCCCCCTGCGCCGGCCGAGGCGTAGCTGGCAAGCGGCAGAGACGGAGCAGGCCGACCACCAGCTGGCCCAGCTCAAGGGAGGTAAGGCACCCGCCGGAAAAGGGGAAAAAATGGACAAAAAAAATGGACAAAAAAAATGGCGGACAGCCTTGCTTGGCGACCCCCATGAAATGGTCGATCGACCCCAAATGGGGTCCCGACCCACAGGTTGAGAACCACTGCCTTAGAAAAAGACAAGGCAGTGCTGGTGCTGGCAGATGAGGGGCAGGAGACAAGAGAATACTTGAGAGCCTCACTCTACAGCAATGAAATAAAGGATCCCAACTGAAATATCTGGAACAACTTGTCTTGGGAGATGGTGAATTCTTTTCTGCTGAGTCTAGATGGTCATTTCAGGGGTCTTATATTACAGGTTCTGCACTGAGCAAGAAGCTGGATTAAATGACCTCTGAAGTCTTTTTTACCTATATAGGAACTTACACATTTCTAGAGTTTCCACTCAAAAGTAGTTTGAAAATGATCAAGAGACTATCCTTTTCTACTGAATTTGTAATACCAACATGGGGGTTTGTTGTGAAAATCAAGACTGCTCACAAGTTCCACAGAGGTACCTCATTTCGAAGAAAGACAAGTTTTACATTGGCTTCAAATATACCACACTTGAGCCAGAAATAAATGGCCGAGTTCTTGAAAAACAGCTGATGCGGCAAGCTCATGGAAGTGTGGAGCTGCCAAGAAGTCCTCATATAGAAGCCTCGATTGAATCATACAGGATATTTCATATTAGCAATCTAAGATCACTCAAATAACTGAAGAAAACACACTTTAGTTACAAACACACCTCCTTTTCCCCCAAATATAATGCAATAACTCTTTTGGCAAACTGTTGGAATTCTTTCAAAGCAGGTAAAATTTTTACCTCAAGGGCATGCTACAAAAAATAAATCAATATAGACATATGAAGAAAACCAGAACGGTACTGCTATACACACACACACACACACACCATGCTAGCCCAATCCTCACCATTCTTCCATCCGTTTCTCTAATTCTGGGAGCAGGAACTGCTGGTGGAAACAGTAGATGGAACAGATGTTGGAAAAAATGCCCATCACCACATCAGCTGGGAAAGAGTTTCGGCAGCGTGCTTCCTCCATCAGACGGGCACAGAAGACCTATGAGACAGGGCACACTTAAAATAGTCTGCCCTCCCTCTTGGCGACTTTCTGCAAAACCAGTGATTGGCAGAGGCCTACTCAAACCCTACCCCACTCTTTATCTTCTAAAGCTAAATATCTATTGTACAGCCCTTAACAGCTCGTAAGATGGAATCTTATGGAGAGAGACGGGGGCAGCCCACAGTTCCTGCAGTATCTAACCCATTCTGCTAATTTCCTCAACTGGCATGACTTACAGAAATGATGCTGTGCTTGCCTCAAGTTTCCATTTAAAAACTGCACATGCTCTAGTAATTTTGGATACTAGACATCACTCTTATTACCTGGTCCAATAGATACAGGCGAGATACATATGCCTTTTCTGTTCGGAGAAGTTCGTTGGCAATTCGGAAGACTTTTTGTGGAACCGTCATCTTTTGAGAAAGAGAAAAAGATCAACTGAAAACCACTCGGCTGTGGGGAATGAACTAAATTCCAATTTCTTTTTCATATATTAGGTTGTACTAAGAAAACCAACCACAGGATTTTCTCCATTTCTCAGCTATTTCTTTGCCCCTTGCATTCAAGCAGCTTTCCAATTATTACAAGTGAACAATGGTTGTACAAAAATATGCTGTACTCATCCTTTCATTCAGTTCTCACAGGCACCAAAATGGATTATACACACTTTTATATTCCGTGAGTGAATATAAACCAATAGCAGGCAATCTCTTGAAGCCAGGGATGCCATGGGAATTGTGTGAGCGGGTTGTGAGCAAACTTCTAAAAATGGCTGCTGTGGGAGGACTTCCCTATTCCTAGAAAGGCTTCATATATACCAAAGCATAATCAAAAATATCATATGAAGCAGGAGACAAAAATACAGGCTCGGAAGGAAGCATTGGAGAAAAGGCTATTCTAGTAAACCTGGGATAGGAATCCCAGCCCTTTACCTCATCAGAATCCAGCTTCTCTGTCTGTGGAGGTGGAAGGTCAGAGAGCAGCTCAGCCTCATCCCCACTGCCATCATCCATGTCACTGTCCCCCTCAGAATCACGAGTTGAGCTGCGTTTGATGATGCTTGGAGGTGCCAGTGGTCCGGCACCCTCCCCTGTACCTTCCTCAGGCCCAAAGCAAATCTCCTCACTGTTAGATGGTGAACTGATGCTGTCAATGCCGCTGTCCCGGTTTGCCAGTTTCCCACCATCGTGAGGTGGCAAGCAGACAGCATTTCCTGCAGCCGCTTGCCCTCCTTCCAGTGCCAGGAGGTCCAGGAGCTTGTGAGACAGTTCTGCCGATTCCAATGAAGCTGGACGATCTAGCGAGGGTTCCATAGAATTTATCTCTAGGGCTTGGAGGTCTGGGCTGGGACACGGCGAGGGAGTCTGTTCAGATGTCAGGATTATAGGTTCCCTAAGAGAAACACAACCACACAGTTGGAAAGCCAAGGAGGAAATGAAGAACAGATGCTGGATGAAGTACCAACACAGGCAAGATTTGCTAGGGTTCCACCTCTCCTCGAAAAGTAAGTAGAATCTTCTAGTGCAGGGGTAGGAACCTTGGCTTTTATGACTCGTGGACTTCAACTCCCAGAGTTCCTGAGCCAGCCATGCTGAGGGGAAAGGGAGAGGTTTCCAAGCTGAGCCATGCTGTCTCAGGAATTCTGGGAGTTGAAGTCCACGAGTCATAAAAGAGCTAAGGTTGCCTATCCCTGTTCTAGTGAATTCATGCCCAACGTACAGGTAGTCCTCAAGTTACGACCACAATTGAGCCCAAAATTGAAGTGAGTTTTGACCCGTTTTACTATCTTTCTTGCCACAGTTGTTTAGTGAATCACCGCAGTTGTTAAGTTAGTGACATGGCTGTTGAATGAATCTGGCTTCCCCCACTGACTTTGCTTGTCAGAAGGTCGCAAAAGCGGATCACGTGACCCTGGGACACTGCAACCGTCATAAATATGAACCACTGGCCAAGTGTCTAAAGTTTGATCATGTGACCATGAGGATGCCGCAACAGTTGTTAAGTGTGAAAAATGGACATAAGTCACTTTTTTCAGTGCCGTTATAACTTTGAACGGTCACTAAATGAACAGTTGTAAGTTGAGGACTACCTGTACTAACAGCATTGGTCTAAAAATAGAATACTTATTTGCACACATGATTAGGCCAACTATTCATCTACCCTTTTTTAAAAATCTTCTGACACAGACAACAGCCAAAAGGCTAACATATGTGGTATCATTGTATCATCCATAACAATCCAACCTAAAATCAAGGTTCTCATACTCCAGATCTTTCTCACACAAACTCAGGACACCTCAAACGTGGTAGAACGCAGTGTTTACCTTCAAGCTGCTATTGCAACCTCCCATACACCCCAAACTATCTCAGCATGAACCTGGCTGTTCGTATGATGCCAAGGAGAGCAGAATCACACAATCCACCATCATAAAAGAATTGGTAGATGAATTAAAAAAAGAAAGCCAGCCAAGAGAACCATTTAAATACATGGATGTCAGCTCTATTCAAGACTGGGAAGAACACAGACGTTTAAAATCTTTTTCTGAATTGTACCACGGGCAACGCCTCCAAGTGCCTTCAATATGGGTATTATATCTAACCAATCTTGAGTAGAATTAACCTTTATTGTTTTCTCTGTCATTTAACAAAGGGCTTTGTGCTAGTTATCATTTCAATATATCCCAAGCCAGTAGAAACCTCCCATTAATTAATGATGCCAAGTGGTCCTACTTTACATCTTCAAGAGTACAAATCATGCTTCCTCTACAATTAGGTGTGTGTGCGTGTGCGTGTGCGTGTGTCTCCTCCAACTCAGCTACAGATGAGAAACTGGGTCTCACATGCTAGTCAAGCACGTACCTTTCAAACTTCTCAATGAGGCAGGAGACGGCAGATGAGTAGCCCACTCCATCTTTTGGCAGAGGGCTGCGGCCCAGGCGGGGGTCGGCTGGGAGGGGTCGTGATGGCGGTGGGGGGATCGATTCAGGAAACCGTGGGGGCTGGCTATTCTGCAGATAAGCTGGCTTGGGAGGAACTGGAAAAGGAAGTGGAATTGTTCTTTTAAAACAGACTCGACACATTTTACTAACAGAAGCAACCAACAAAAGGACTGCTTCCGTAAGTTGGCATTTTTTATCATCTCATCCACGCTGCCCATCCCACCCCAGCATTGAAACTACTTCTAACTCCCCTGTTCCAGAGCAAAGAGCCTGGACTCTGAACTCCATTATACTGAAAAGGCCCAGCATGTACCCCAAGTTAGATTTTAGCATAAGCAGCTTTTTATATCAATGCTGGTTGGAAAAGTGTTGCTGGCAGCCCTGGGCTGGATGCATCATGCACAGGCCATGTCCACCCTGGCTCCACAAAGGGAAAAAATGTCACCATACGTCACGATATATCACATGACGTGATCGAGTTTGACACCCATGCTCTAGAACATAGCTGGCTCAGGAATTCTGGGAGTTGAAGTCCACGAGTCATAAAAGAGCCAAGGTTGCCTACCCCTGCTCTAGAAGGATATGCAAATTCAAGCAGCCAAGGGCTCCAGCTGACCTTTCATTGGGATGCCAGGGACTGCATTCCAAAAAGAAAATGAGTCCCGGAGAACGAAATGGGATGAAATCAGAGTAAACATTCAATCTGATCTAAATTAACTTATGTGTAATTTTAATTAAAATAAATTTGTTCAATGCAACTATGAAAATTTGCCCTCCTGTATCTTGTAATTAATTTCCCCCCTTTGATCATCATGCTAAAGGTTACTGTTTAGCAGAAATTCTGAAGACCTCCTGCAGGCCTGGGCGAAGCCTTGCAGGAGGAGCCTTGCACGGCAACCTCAAGTGTGGTGGGTGAATTCTGGGCTCTGGAGTCCATAACTAGAAAGGCACCAACAGCCAGCTTTCTTCTCCAGCAGCATGCACGGCAAATTCCATAAGGAGCATCTTAATCATGGGCTCAAGGAGGAAGTAGGGAAACCATCTCAACCCCAATATGTTTTGGATGCATTTGATCTCAGCTCCCATAATTCAAAGCTAGCATGCCAAAGACAATAGACTTATGGGGACCGGTTGGGGAAGCTCCATTTATACCTTGTGGCTTTGGTCCTGGGGGACGCTTGAGTGGTCGGAGTTTGGCAATTTCTTCTTCGTTGTGGTCAGGTCCTGGATCTGAGATGAGTCGTTGGGGGGCTTCTGGTGAGCGATGTTCAGGGCTGGGTTCTGAAGAGAGGCTTTTGACCAGGAGTCGGTGGGGCTGAATGGGACCTAGAAAGGAAACAGAATTGAGATAGACAGTTTATTAAAACCAATTCTCGTGCAGTCTGTTCTTATACATTCAAAGAGGAGAAGCCTGGAATAAAGCCAATGTAAGTGAGAAAAAAAACCCTCTAGAAATAAAATTCTCTAGATGGTTAACTTCCTAAATTGAAAAGCACAATAATGACTTTATAGCATTAGTTTGCACAACTGAAATATCAGTTGATCATAAAGACTGATATGATGGCTCTCTTGAGATTTCCTAACTCAACTCTATCATGGAATTAGCCAGCAATTAGCATACTTCTCGCAGAAACTCTGCAAACGGTTTAGAGCCAACTATAAATCACAAGGCACTGGAATCAAACAAGAACAAAACCAAAACACTTTTTTTTTAAAAAAAAATCTGTTTAAAAGCAAATGCATCAAGAAAAAGTAGGATCCTTAAAAGGCAAAACAATTTTAAAAACCCTAATTAGAACTACATCAAAGTAAAAATTAAAAAGATACCTTACTTTGACCAGAAAGTCTTTACTCTCCAGACAAATTCCAAGAAAGTTGGAGGCTGGGAAAACTCCCAAGGAAAATGGTTCACAAACTGGACCATCCCCTAAGCCCAACATCCTTTCCCAATCAAATCCCTGCTAAATACATTGAATTACATCACCCATTCCCCCTTCACCAGATTTGGAGGGGCTATAATAGAGTTTCATCCCACAGTTCTCAGAGCATTACTTCTTAAAATGTACTGTCCTTTTCTGTTAAAGATCAACAACCTGAGTTAAACTAGAGCAGGGGTGTCAAACTCAATTTCATCGAGGGCCGCATCAGCATTGCGGTTGCCCTCGGGGGGGGCGGTGGTGTGTGGCTAGGATGGGTATGGCCTACTGGGTGGGCGTGGCCAGCTCTACATCATTCGCGTCAAGGGTGCCTGTGGGGGCATGGGCAGGAGTGGGACAGATCTGAGGGTCTCTGACAGAAAGGGGTGGGACCAGGGCAGAGCCCATCAAGCCGGATATGTGAAGTAGGCGAGGGCCATTTGCTGGCTACTTCCAGGCGATGGTGCATTTCTTCATTCCTCACAAAGGGTGACACCTCTCCAGCATGCACCCAGGGGGTGGGGCCGACGCAGCAGGGGCTGGTTCCTCGCTGTTTCCAGACGGCCTTGTGGAGCTAAGACTGAATTAATTTCAGCATAGAGGGCCACCACAAAATTGTACATTGGCTCCCGGCCGGCCTGTGCCAGGGCCAAGGCAGCGGGGGCCGTTCCCTCACTGTTTCCAGGATGGCTTCACGGGCCACATGAAACCACTTCGCGGGCCGCATCTGGTCCCCGGGCCTTGTGTTTGACATGTCTGAATTAGAGGGTAACAAGTAAGCAGGTCAGGCATGTCCCATCACACTAACCCCTTGTCCATGAGCCACATGGAACCACCCAGTTCAGATGGTGAAACAAACACAGAAGTAGGCAGACTTTCTACTAGGATGAAGATACTGGGTGACAATTGGGTTGAACTGCATCCTACAATTTCCAGCTCATCAGACGTTGATTTCTTCTTAGCTACATTTCATTGCTCATTCTTATGAGTCCTGATTATATTTGCATTTTTAGTAAGTAGGAGTATGTGGGGAGATTTGGGCACTGTGGGTGACAAGAAGGAAGAAGAAATTTATCTTTCTAGCTAATTTCACACCATATGCTAAGCTGTTACTCACTCCCCATGGTTTGAGCATATTGCAAATGACCCTAACTGCTTTACAATCTACAACATCTACATGCACATAATACATTAATCCCAAACGAAACAGATTATGGCTTGGTGGGATGCATGAACTCTGCCCATCCCTCTTCCACAGAAAAATATGTTCTGAAACTATTACGTCCCCTGTGAAGTAAAAATGAATTAAGGCCAAAGGGAGTGTCTCACACAATTCAAAGAAAAGCTTCTATGAAACATTTTTGTTGGGTCTAACAGAGAAAAGATCTAATTTCTCTTTCATGCTAAATTGTGATATCCATAACAGCTTGAACGATTGTGAACGATCGATAACAGCTTGATAATGATCAGTACATTAAACAAAATCATGTTATGAGTTAACCTGATCAGTGAATGCAACCAAAGAGTTAGATCTTCCTGTTCCCTATGAATATAACTCCTAAATTTTTGCCTACCTGTCAGGTAAAAAGCTGCAGTCTGCTTTAAGTCAAGTTCAGCTTCTGCTGATTTCACTGACATATCCATATTGCTTTCTTGGGAAAAGTTGGGAAGCTATTTGTTACTGCCTTCCTCTAGGATTTTTAACATTTTATTTTGTTTCCCAGTCTAAGCTACCACCCTGGTACTTCTGGCCGGTTTCCCATCAAAGTACTATGAGATCTAAACTTGCTTCGCTTCTCAAACTATCATTAGTACTGGTATTACAACAAATCTGCAAGTTTAAATCCATTCCCACCTATTAACCTCCCCCCCCCCCGTTGTTTAATAGCAATAGCACTTAGACATAAATACCATCCACAGTGCTTTACAGTACTCTGTAATCCTAACACACAACAGCTGATTTTTTAACATTAAAACCATCAAATATATTTTAGATTATATATTTTTCAACAAGAAGTAGCATTTCAAAAATGACTTCATTGCACTTATTATGACTTTTTTTTTTAAATGCCTTTAAGTCTTTGCAACTCCTGCCTGGACTGGTGTCTGCAGTTTACCTGGCAAGATTTAGAAAGTGGTTTGCCATTATCTCTTTCCTAGGGCTGAGAGAAAGTGGCTGGCCCAATGTCACAGTTTCATGTCTAAGGTGGAACCAGAACTCACACTGTACTAGTTCCTAGCCTGGTGCTTTAATCATGATACCAACTTGGTTCTCTTTATATGGAAGAAACCTGAGTAAATGCTTATGTTGCTGGAGATGCAATGAAATTAATGCTTTATTTAGACACATGTTTCTATGGCATCCAAAAACGGTTCCATTTAGGATAGAAATTATTATATGCATTAACTCAACTTTAAGATTTAGTATTTTCAGATATTCATATTTTTGGAAGTTTATTCCTATTGCACGGACATTGACATCTGGACAAAAAAAGTGGATTTTTTCTGTAGTTTACTTACAGCTAAATGACTTAATGTTCAACACTGGAAAGACAAACATGTGGCTCCAATTAATCAGTGGTCTGCAGAATTGATGTCACCAGCAATTTATTTATCAATAACTTATCAATGTGGATTATCCATTAACCATTAGAATTATGGTTTCCATTCATTGACATGTGTAATAAACAACTTTATATATGCATGTAAGTATATGTCTCGAATGTTTTTTTTAACTTTTATCATTGTGTGTCTTCTTTTCCTTTGTTTTCTGTAGTTAGTTAATAAAAGATTGAAGGGGGAAAAAACTCAGACGGCTGAAAATGAAGACTGCCTGTTTTCATTGTTTTATCATGTTTTGCAAGAAAGCAAACAGTATATACTTTCCTAAGATAAACATAGGAAAATATGAAGCACCGTGGAGTGAATTTTCCAGGAAGGAAAAAAAAACCAAACCAAAAACTCTGCCCTCAACCTGGCAGGAAAAAGAAAAGAGTGGGCGAGCATATATAGACTATCTGAAGATGTCTGGGCCAAGTAAGCATTATGGGACCTGTAAAAGAATCTCTCCGTGCTGCAAGGATTTCTGAATCCCAGGTAATTAACAAAAAAATAATAGCAATCTATTTCTCGCCTTCGCACTCCAATTAAGAAACATTACGGTAATTTGGAACAGATTTTGGGGTGGGAGGACCATGGTTTACATTCAGCTCCAGTATACAAAAGAAAGTACTTGCCTCATTTTTAAGGGTGTTTTGCACTGGGGCTTGATTGGCTGGTAGGTCTTGACGTGCTAGTCAAAAAGAACTGTTAAACTCACAAGCATGGAATTTGGCTACTCCAGTATAAAAAGGTCTACAACATGAATCCCTGTCCAGTGGTTCTTAGAAGCAACAAAACAATGACCTTCTAAGACAGTGATGGCGAACCTTTTAGAGACCGAGGGCCCAAAAACTGGCCCCGTTCCCGCTCCATCCCCTGCCCTGCCCTGCCCCACCCCTACCCCGTCCCCCGCCCTGCCTGCCTGCAGGGCTACTCACCACCTCCAGGTCCCACCACAGATCACCCAGGCAGCCCAGCAGCGCCAATGGCGGCCATGCCCTCTGCCTGCGCCCTGCAGCATCAACTGTGGGTGATGGGGTGTGAGGCAGAGTCTTGTCCACGCTGCCTGGCTGCCATGTCCTTGGCTGCTCTGCTCCAAGTGGGCTACGCTCGGGGGCAACTCTCCTCCAGGGGGGTTAGTGGTGAGGGGGTCGCGGGGGGAGGAGAGACTGGGGCAACAGCATGTGTACCCACAGAGAGGCTTTGGATCCAATGCTAAAAAAACTCTTTACAGAGCACACCTGCTGCCCCAGTCAGTACCTCTTTAACTCAAAATGCCTATTTTCCTACAAGTTCAAAAAAGACTTGGCTTCTTTAACTATACACTCTATGGGTGTACAGTTTGCACACCCATGCCCGTTCTGGAGAATCTCTTTGGCTTGCTGCAAATCCTTATTGTCTAGGTGTGAAAAAGACTTTGTAGGCCTTACGTCTCCAGGCTAAGGTGCAACTCAAAGTAAGAAATTAAAATGGCATCCAAATCCTACGCACACAAAGTGAGCAAGGTCTATCTACAGTTTATATAACGGCACATACCTCTCAGCTTTTGTTCATTTAAAGCTGCTCAACATAGATGCACATCCTAGTGTATTATGCTGTAGTTTATTTTCCCCACCCAATATTAATTAAGTGAGTGAAACAGCTTGAAATTTCAAGAGCTTCTGATCGAGATATTACAGAAAAATGTTATGGAAGATTATTTCAATATATGATTGCCACAGTAAGATTGTTATATGCACAAAGATGAAAATATTCAGTACTATCCACCATGGAGGAATGGTTGGTAAAATTGACCGAATTTGCTGTGAT